AAGACGGTGGCGCCACGCTCTCTTTGCCAATTCCGAACCCCCTGTTAGGGGAGCAGGTACAGTTGAGATGTGTGGTCCTAGCGACAATGAGATACCCTAACCGATTTTTGAAGCAATCTGTTAACAAAGAAACTTGCAAAATTGATTTTAATTCTTGGTTTCTCATTTTCAGTTTATAATTATTTAAGGTAGATTAGACTGTATTTTTAAAACACGATAAACCTTTTTAGGCCTTTGTTTTATAAAAGGAAATGTCTGCTGAGTCAACCTCTTTGACTCGATTGTCAATCGCACTGAGCAGTGTCCACTCTTTTGGGGACAAATAAAACAATTCTTTAGGTATTACTTTGGACTTGTTTCCCATTAAAATTTTCACTTGAAAACACATAAAACTTCAAATAAAATAAAATAAAATATTCACAAATCTTCAAACTATATCCTGCAATAATGATACTTCATGAATCATAGACAAACCCAGCCGGTTCTTTAGGAAAATTCATAAATGGGTCACTGTTTTATTGTGCCAAATAACCCCAATGTTAATTCTTTTACTCATTTTTTGCATACAAAAATGTCTTCTCTATCAGGATGATCACCGATTGGAGTGGTATACATATTATGGTAATAATGTAACCCAATGGACACCACAGGCAGTGCTGTGTGTCTTTTGCTGCACCTTGGCACGCTCTTGGCACATTCGCTGGCCATTGCGGTTTTTAAACTTGTTTCATTTGTTTACCCAATTCATAATAATCCGCTGGCTCTTCTCCATTCCCCACACTCATTCACAGCCGTATTCACACTTATACTTAGACATACTCAAAAGCCTTATAACATCTTTACTATCAGCCAACTCGAGTCGGCGAGTCGAGCCGCAGTCATTGTCGGCGGGGCAGACAATAACAGCGATCAGGGCAAGAGCACACGAATAAACCCCCTTAATCGAATTAAATTCGTCACAGAGTTTGCCGTAGCTTCCCATAAAGTGCAAACAGAGTTATTCCTTATTAAACCAAATGATTGAGTCTGTACTCTCTTGTTCATTCCCATAACCAGCTGCTATAGTGCGCTCTCCAGAGTGCGTTTCTCTTTCTTATGGCTAGTGATTCTTCGATTTAACAAGATCCAACAGTTCTTATCGGTTCTATTTGCCTATTTATTGGGATACCTCGCTAAGTGTTTCTTCTCTTAAGATTCATTGTTCTTATCGGTTCAACGATTATTTTCCTAATTGTTCGTTCTCCCATGATTCAGTTTTTTGTACATTTTACTTTTATTGGTTTAGTTTGCTTATTTATTTGCATATCTGCGGATTTCCGCTCTGCCATGAATTTTGGAAACAAAAAATGTTGAAGAACTTTTAATGCTCTTTTGTAAAATGTACAGAGTTCCCCTCCTTCAGATATACATACATAAGATGCTACTTAAGAGTACATGTTAATGAAGATCAATTGAATTTTAGTTCTTTATTATACCTTAAAGTTACTCTCTATGTTCATTGAGTAAGGCCTAATCTACTTTATTAGTTTGATAAAAGGGTACCGCCTTATAACGGACATAAAGAGGTGTTCAAATCAGAACATCTTATCTTTACAAACCAATTATATGTCCAATAACGAATCACTTGGGTATTGGTGAAGGGAAATCTAATCTACTGTTTGTAGCGCATGCAAAATTCGAACATTTTAAATCTATTCAAATAGAAATTCCCCATAGTTTTACCCGAAATCACCACCTTCATCAGAATCAGATGTTATGGCTGCTGATGTATTTAATAGGTCCCATGCATGGATAGATGCAATCCATTTGGTAACCAACTTCAGTTGTATAAGACTATCCGTAGATCTCGAGAACTACTGAGAAGGGAATAACGTATTTTGTCACTTGATTGCATTTTAATAAACGATTTTATTTTTACTAATATTTTGTGAGTGATTTAATATTTGTATTATTTTATAAACCATTAATACACAAAAATCACCGATTGGCGGAACAGATTTTTATTATACTTTTGCGATATACTTTTCACACTTCTTCCATTTTCGCTTCGGCTCATTTCTAAAAACTTTATTGATGGGCTCTTCGTGTTCCTCAGATTTTAAGACAGTCTGTTTATCGTTTTCAATGATACAAATTGAATTTCCTCTATTCAAATCTAGAATTTGAAGCGCCATAAAAATGGCCAAATGTTCGAAAATGTGGTATTTATAAATAAAGCACCAATATATGGATTGTTTTATGTGTAGTCATAGTTTATTTATGCAGTCATATCCTCCAATTGTTTTTGTCTACTATCTCCCTATTTCTCTTGTAATCTTTCTTTTCTTTTATTGGGGGTCAATCTATATTTAGATTTACTCTTTGTTTGGTTTGCACTTTTCACTTAATTTGTTTATGGTTGGGGAAATAAAACTTTAATTGGCAACTGATCTTGTATAAGTCTTAATTATCTCATATAATACGAAGGGAAACAATGCATTAATCAGGGAAATCAATAAAGTTTTAATAATATTAAATTTCTTTCCAAGAGGGCAAAGATGTGGTTTTAAAATCAATTAAAATCTCCGGATTGTCTCCGGAATCTCCGTAGTAATATTCCCCGATTTATCTGTCTATTACATTATAGATATTTTCTTCATAGGAAGTCAACCTGATATTGACAATGGGCCCTAACCAATGTTAACCAGTTACAGCTGGATTTGGTTAACCCTCAGCAGGGGACGGTTGCACTCATTAACACATCTCCAGGCCGCAGATATTTAGACTAGAGACGAATTCCATAATTGATCGAATCAACATATCGCACCACAGACAAATTTATTGTTTTACAGCTGAAATTATATATTTAAGACTTGACAAAGTTGTCTATGTTGTATAACAATCGTTTATTGCTAATTGCTGTCAGCGGAATAGGCAGGCACTCATGACCAATTACATGAGCCAGATGATAACACCTCATCCATGGCATTGGTTCGAGTTTTTATTCGACATTTGGTGGATCGACCGTGGCCTTACAGAGTGCTATCATATCGTGTGCCGGTGACATTATTTGACACTCGTCTCTTAATTGAATTAACTGATTTATACCACCTTAACAGAGTTTTCATTTGGAGCAATCCGAGGTTCCATTCCGCACATATAGAAAGCAATATAGATACAATCGGGTTTCCGTTTCCACGTCCCTAACCGTCCTTGACGTCAATCGTATTCGAACGTCTTACAATATTTGACTGGTATGTGTTTGGATAGCGTTTCTGTATCTGGCTATGTGATAATTGATTGGATAAATACGGGATGACACTTGCTGGGATTCTGGGTAAAAATATTGCTCAAATATTGAATACGGGATAAAAATAAAAGTGATAATGTTCTAATTATCATCAAAAGCTGTGCGTATGCAAAGCACAGATGAAGGAGAATCTCTCCACGTCCACGTGGACTCCACGTCAAAGAATTTCTAGAGCATCAACAATTTGGCATCGAAACTCCCTTTGATGCACAAACAAATTAATAACACCCACATCTGTCAATGAAACGTCATAAGGTCATTATCTACCGGAACATGAGTCTGTTTTGTTCATACCTCTTATTTTGAATACAAATTAATCAAAGAGCAACAAGGGTATATCACTTTAGGTAGATGTATTAAAATATATAATATGATAATATATGAAATACACAAAACGTCTTTAAAGAAACCCAGAAGATCTAGGGTCATGTGATTCTTTCTTTGGAAATGCCTGGATTTCTTTCTGAGTACTTTCTTAGTCACTTAGTACTTTTAGTCATATTCTGGCTTACAGGTTAACACTTCTGCTAAGAGTTGGATGTGTAGCATCTTCTAGTCGAATCACTCAACTATGCTATATTTTTCTTATTTGTTTTTGACAGCCATTTGATCATGACCCACAGACAGATTCAAAACGTTTTGGCACAACTCTAACGAAAATGTAATTATTTAACCAGCATCCAGTGTTCATCTTAGGTTGCAAACCCGGCCTCCTGGTCTCCTGAAGGAGCTGCTGTGTATCCAGTTCCCAGAATGCAGTTCCAGTTGCGCATGTGATGGGGAGTTTTTGCTGCTGTCGTCATCATCAGCAGCATTCGAAGCAAAGCCCTAATGAGAGACCGATTCGAACCGCTTCATTGCAGTTTTCACTGCGAATATCGGTCTGGTCTGAGCGGAGATCCAGCGACCAGTGTGACAATTGATGGTAAACACAAACCACAATAATTTTCCATCAAATGTTTAATTGTCATAATTATATAATTTCCCCGTTCGACGACAGGCTGGCACGCTCTGCAAAAGTGATATGATGTGTTGTATATGTATATGGATAACTCTTTCTTATAGATGCAGCATCATCTGATTATATTTTTCGGATGGAAGGTTTCGGCGAAAGCCTTCGAAAAAGGGTCACTCATATAGCGGTCTCAAAAAGATTGTTAATTGCCTTAAGCTTTAACAGCCGGCATTCCTAAGGACTTATTGTTAATCATTTGTTATTAAATTGTCTTTTATACTAGCTTGACTTGACCGCCGATAAGAACTGATAAGGTAAGGTAAGGAAACCTTTACTAACTGGAATTCTATTTGTACAATAATGGTATTTTTAATAGATAATCCATCCAAGCATCGCACATTGGCGTCCTCTTGTTAAGTTTTCTCCTCTGTAACTGGAACAAATAAATATCAGAATAACAATTGGCTCGAAGCTAAAAGGCAAACAAGTTGATCAGCACATCAATCATCATCAGGAAAATATGCGTATTCAATCAGCATGTCAATCAGTCAATCGATCTGTGCATTTACAAGAGACCTAAGAATAGATATTTGCAAAATCCATAAATATTTACTTGCGATGGTGTTGGGAATGGGATAGGAATTTATTTGGAAATAGGGAAAGATGGGATCTGTTTAGCATTGATATCAGAACCCATTGGATCACACTGTTTTAACTTTGATTTTAAGTATTTATTTGGTTTTTTTTTTTGGTGGCATAAACTGTTTACACATTCAAAACATTTAAAATTCATATTTCGCTACTAAATTGTATTTGGTTTGACGAATTTCCCCTTTGGAATGCTCCACAATCATGCTGTTAACTTCACACTGAATCTTACCTATATATAATATATAATAATACTATATATATATAATATGTATACATATAATTTGTTTTCTGTTTAAATTTCATTTAAATTTCATTTAAGCTTCATCGAGTTTAGTTTTTGTTGTTTAATTAGTTTGCTACTCTTAGGCCATCGCTTGCTGAAGGTTTTCTCCCTAAGACTTTGTGGTTAATAAAAAGGTTTTTCGGTAAGTTTTAGGTAGTAAATCCGATCCTAGCAATTGTCCAGGATCAGCTGAAGGTAAGTATATGTAAGTTGTACGGGCAATCGGAGCTTTCGTTTTATGTTTCGAGCTTAGTATATAAGGTTTAAGTATAATTTAGCATACACCTTGTAACAGTGGGTGGGTTCTGTGATGTAATATGTAGAAATAATTATTAGAATAACAATAGATCGAAGTTTTCTTATGGAAAAGCATTTGAAAAAAGCTAAAGCGGGTATATAGATAGTAAGTTGTAACAGTAAGCACATTGAAAGCAATCCGATTCCGATCCGAAGGGAACTCCAATTCCCAGTTCCCTCTTCCCTGCTAAATCTCTCTCTCGTTTAACAAATCCATCGAAAACTACACAAACTTAACTGCAATCAAATAAATGCTGACCTATTAAACTATCCAATAATTTCTGTAAATACATATAGACTCTGATATAACAGATTATTGCAGGCACAGGACCGGAACGGACCGATCAAATGCATGGTTAAAATTATTATTGTAAAACTTTGCCAAGTCCCGGTCCCGGCCCCATTCCACACATAGTCGTACATCGATAACAAACAATTTCCTGACTCTCCATGAACCCCATTTGAGCAATGATATACGAGTAAACGTATTTTCTACTATCTTCTAAATGCATTGGCAAAAAATGTTAACTTAAACGACCAGATGAGACACATCGCTGGTGTACCCGGGCGAGTAGCGCGGTGGCAAGACATTCTGCTGTGGCCGTGTCCTTCCGAGCATCCCTGGCGTGGCACCCATCACTTTTGGCGACTGTCCAGGCTTGCCCAGTTCGTAGGGGCGACGTGTTCGCAGCACATCGGCCGCATCGCCAGGCCAGGCACGCTCCGGTCCCAAACGCTGGCTCAAGCGTGGATAGCGCCTCTTGTCCACCGCCAGACTGATGGTACCCGGTGGATGGGTGGAGTTGAGTCCCACATTGTACTGTCGCTGCATGGCCAGTGAGGCGCGTATGGTCTTACGCTTCTGTGAATGATTTCAGAGGTTTAAATGAGTCTATAAAATGAGTATAAAATAATCCCAATATCGCATACCTCTATGGTGCCACGCCATTTATCGGCTGCATGTCGGGCTATATCCAAACGTTTTTGCTTTTTCACTTGATGTTTTTTATAGATCACTTCGATGATGATTAGACCCACGCCTCCAGCAATACCTACACCCACCAGAATGAACACCCCAGCCATGTTCTTGAGACCCAACGTATTGGGGGTCTTCTCAAAGAGTTCACAATTCTGTTGTACATGTCCATGAAAGATCCACTGTTTGTCCAGCTTTTCCATGAAGCCACCTTAAAGAGGAGAAAGATTAGCAATCCGTGGACTGGGAGTGTACTCTCAGCACTTACTTTCATGGAACTCTAGGATAGCTAGGGTTACAGCATCTGTCCAGGGTGAGCCCTTTTGCAGGCCTATGCCATAGCCACTGCGTCCGAAGAGCTCTCCAGCGGTCACCAGTTCGCAATCCTTCGAGGCCTCGTACTCCAGTCGCGATGAATCCCAAATGAAGGCCATTAGTTTGCTGTGATTATAGATTACATGTAGATCGTATTTTAGTCACGTATCATGAGGGATTCATTAACAAGGGATTGGTACAACAAGTACGATTAAAAAACATGAAGAAGTTAAGGTTTAAGGGTTTACGGGGTCGTTTAAGTACGGGGGGAAGGGCAAGAACAATTCGAACACGATACCATTAACGAGTACAATATTTACTAGAGAGAAACACAGAGAGAGAGAGAGAGAAAGAGAGAGACAGCGACAGAGAGAGAGAGAGAGAGAGAGAAAGAGAGACAGTGGTAATTTGTGTAGATTAAGTTCTTTGGTTTGAAGAGTGAGAAGAGTACTTGTTGTTGTTGTTAGGGTATTACGAGTACGAGCACGAGTACGAGCAGTAGATGTAGAAGATCTGCGTTCTGCAAACATGCGACTATACAACTCTATAGATTTCAGCTACGAAAATGGACGAGGCCTGTGGCGCCCACGTTACCCCTTCTTCACGTCCTGAATGGCCTGCTCGGCGGTGGCATAGTTGTTCGCCTCCATTGTGCGATACATGTTGGACAGCTCGACCTGCCGCCGGAAATACATATCCACCGATGAGCCCTTGACGGTGGCACAGGTCAGGTTCTCCATGGTGTTCCTCAAGCGGGCATCGTTGATGCCGCTCAGCTTCGTCTTGGGCCGCTCCAGCACGAGGAAAGCGGCCAGGTTAGCAGTATACGAGGCCACGATGATCATGGCGAAGCCGGCCCAGACCATGCCTAGCACTCTGGCAGAGAAGCTGCGCGGTGTTCCCTCACCGATGCCACTATTGAGGAGGACGCCCCAGGCGAACCAGACCGCGGAGCTGAGATTCAGGGCCTTCTCCTCGTTGCTGTCCGAGTGCGAGAGCTTGAAGCGTCCAAACGGTGAGAATCTGAGTGTAGAAAGCATAGAGTTAATCGAATCCTCGAGCAGCGAAGGTCCAGGGTGAATGGGTGAATGGAATAGCAGCCAGGCACGGATCGCTGCGATTCAACCGTCCAATGCAACGATCATTTATGGTTTATTTTATGGCTACTACTATGTACGATCTCTCTGAAAGTGTTTTGGGGATTGCGGGTGATGGTGTGCTCGGCAGGGGGAAGATACTCACCTGTCCAGCAGATAGAGGACCAGAGCCACTACATGAACCGACACCATTACCAAAATCCATAGCGTGTTACTAAATGGCTGCAGGAAAGACACGAGAGTACTCGATCGTGACGGTTTCTTCTCGAGTATTGTAATGCCTTGATACTTGAAGGGTTTCGAGAATTCAATGTACTCGGCACGCTCCGGATTGATGGTTAATGGTGCAACGATCATGCTAAACGAAGTGAGAGTCGGAGAGTTCCCGATTAGTGTGGATTTCATTGGTTTCCCTTCATTCAACTTACTCGGCCCGTTCATTGACCAGCTCCCCCATAAGGCCCGTCCACTCCTTGCGCAGTGTTATCGCACCCGAGTTGTTGCGGAGGATGTAGTGCCCGAACTGTCCATCGGGGGAGAGGGCTAGATCGTAGGTGAAGTTTATCCGCTTGGATAGTTCGATGAGCAAATCGATGCAGTACCCACGACAGCAAAACTCATTGGCTATACAAAGTACAAGTTAGAGGAATGCTCTCAGTGAATGATCCAGGTCTGAGTCTTACCAGTGGAATCAGTGGCATTGAACAGCGGACAGGGTCGCTCATCTGGCTCGCAGCGGAACTCGTCATCCCCCATGCGACGCACATAGACAAATGGCTTCTCCTCAATGGTCAGCACTTTCAGGTGAGTGGGAATCATAATGCCCTCCGGCTTGCGGTTCTGTTTGCCTGGCCAAATGATTTCGCTGTCATTGATATTCATTCGCATTTTGGCACGCATCTGCAGAAAAAAAGGATCTTTAATCATTAAAGTATTATCTTAAGCTGGAGTATCTCTGCAGAACCTACACTATCGTAGCTGAATTTTCCCACAACATGTTTTTTCTGCTTCTCGCGTATGTTGATCACATCGTAGCCGGCATAGATGCGATCGCCATTGTCATCGAACGCCACTTGGCCTGTCTCCCCCGTAATATTGCGACTCTTCAGGTACTGGAACAGACGCTTTCCTGCAAAGGTGACATTAGAACGGCTCCCCAATTAGGAAAGATCACGGCTCCAATGACGCACCCGATTCCCAGTTGACGGCCGAATCGCCGCAGTCCTTGGGCGCCTCTGCAATGGTCTCGTTGGATATCATCTCCTTGATGGCCGAGGCCAGGACATAAACGCTGTCCTGTCAGATGAAAATCACATCATGCATAATGGAGGCTCGAATCAGTGGCGGGACCCACTCACACTTACCCTAATGTGTCCCTTGTCGCTGTGAGCATGCTCCAGCTGGAGGCCCAGCACTCCGTCCGGCGTATTGTTGGCGAACAACGCCTGCTCCGTCACAATCCACACATGCCCCTCCCCGGTCATGTTGTACTCGCCGGCGTCCCGAAAGATGACTTGGGCATCCTCAGTGCTGCACAGAGAGAGAGAATAAACCAGTGCATAAATAACCAGAGCGCTTATGATAATTTTTTGAATGCCAAATGGCATGTGCAAATGGCAGAAGCCACCCCATTTCCAGGACATTTTTCAGGCGGTTGTGGGTGAAATTTTAAATAAATAAACGAGAAGGAAGTGCGATTGTGGTAGAGAAAACCATAAAGCGGGGACTTGTTGCAAATACATTTTATTTTTGTTCATTTATTCTGATTCTTGTTCAGCTCCAATGCAATTGTTTTAGTCAGAAATGTGCTATGACTGTCTGCATCTCCCGGCAAGAGGCGGAATCCTTCTTAAGCGGAAATCAAAGAGCGTTTGAAAACACCATAGAAGGAAAGGCCAAGCGCAATGAGACAGGTGCCGTCGCACAGTTCCCCAGGGCATTTGTTGCAAGGACAACGATGATAATCTTCCTTTCTAGCGGGAACCTTCTCGGGCACACACCAATTGCACTGCACAAAGAGGTGGTGGGACGTGAATTTGATCTGCTGACAGCCAAGCTCCTTGGACCAAGTGCAACAGAAGTAGTGATTCTCTGTAACGAGGTCTAAGGCATCTTTAGGATTTCTAGAGATTGAAGTATCTCTTTTTTTTACCTAGTACATTCATACCTTCTGGAATGCAGTCGGCTAGATTACTGCTACTGTGGCCATGCTCCAGAGGGTTATAGGTGCCCAAATCTGTGGCACTGCTGTTGCTGTAGTCAGGGGGCAGGTCCCTGCAACTGCGTCCAAATTCACTGATTTTACAATTTTCATTTGCTGCTGAACAGTCGTTGCAATAAATGCTCGCTTCGTGGCCATAAGTGGCAGCGATTGCCAAGCCAAGCGCGTATGTTAGGTAGTAGATAATTCCAGACATTTTGTGAATTAAAATTGAATATTTAAAGTCAACTAATAAACACTCTGAAGGGGCAACCAATGGCAACTATGGTTTCTGGGCTTCGATTGCAAATTAATAGATCTATAATGCCTTTCCTTTTACATCAAACCATCCGTCCAGAAATTAAATTAAATACCCATTAGTACCCCACTCACCTGGCATACATCAAATATACCCTCGACTGGGCTGTCTTCATGTCTATAAGGTGCTCTGTAAAACTCTCCAGCTTCGGCTCGAACTCTACAATCAGTTCAACGTTGGCACGCACATCGACATCATCGTAATAGGTCTGTGATGTGGTCTGGAAGCGCCCCAATATGGCACGTCCATCCGTGTCGGAGCTGTGTATTATGATAACCTGTCGCCGCCATTGAGGCAGACAAATTCAATGAGTCAATAAGTCATATTTTTGGTAGGAATAAGAGTACCGGAGGAAGCGCGACATTACCTTTGTATATGCAAAATGACTCAACATCTCCAGCCAGACGTCAGCCTGGTGATAGTACGGCGGCACGGTTCTGAGGAACGAGACGTGGATGTTCTTGTCGGAGAAGGCCGCATCCCGTGAGGATATGCCAATGACGGGAATTGAATAGAATCCGCTCGTGTAACTTACAGCCGCTGGCGACAAATCACCAGAGGTTTGCTCATGCGAAACGACTACGGCATACACCTGGGGGAAAACACGAGGTGGGAAATCAAATCAGTGGAAATGAGCAATGCCAAGGGAAATGGCAGGAGAAAAGTGTGACGAAGGAGTGCGACAGGGGGAAGGCAGAGCCAAACAGGCGGAAGTGTAAATGGCGCCGAGAGGGCGTTCAATTGGCTTCGCAAAAAATATGCCCAGAAAAAGTAGGTACAGTGCGGAACATAACTATTAGGAGGGGATGGAACTATATCGCTTATAATAATTCAGATTGAAACCAGCGGAGTGATTCTATTAGTGGACTTCATCCGAGTTTTTTTCCAAACTTTCCCATGTCTGATGGTTTTGAGCCACACTGTAGGCTATGGCAACCCCCACAGGAGTCAATGACAGTTGATTTGTTTCCTTCGCCTGGTAATGAAAGGTTCAAAATGGACGCACATCTTTTGCCCAAACGATGATAAATTCACTTTGGCATTAATGATGACAAATGTCCGCTCCCGAATACAGGCAGCGAATTGATTTAGACCTGCCCTAGTGGGCGTAGACGGTTATGCTCCTGGACCCAGACCCAGACCCACTCCCACAGCCACTGCTCCAGATAAATGTGCGCCGATATGTGATTGATGAATGCGTAGCACGATCCCAGTAGTTGGACGGTGGTCGTGGCCGAAAAACTTGCCATGTGCGGATGTTTGAGTGGTTTTTAGCAATGGGTGCAATGCACTTGGACACGCTTGTAAAATCTTCATCATTAATCTTTTTTTTTGTTTTTGCTTGTAAACGACTGCGCTGATTAATAGCCTTCTAATCAGTTTGCCGCTAAAAAGTGCAAGTGCATGTGGTGCAAAAGTGCATGGTTGGCGGGGGCAATGGCAGAGATTTTAAACCTTTACAACACGCATGACTTTTGAATTAAAACTCAAAACTAAAGCCATGAATTTTGGTTATACTGTTTGTGCTGGTAGAGCTGCCGGATCAGCGAAAAAATTAGCATGGATGATCATAAAATTACAGTGGGAGTAGCCAGACGGTCCGAAATATATCCGAGTGGTGCTTACGAACAAATTATGGGCTCGAAAGCTGTATTACTGTCAATTGTACATCATCACTGGGATTACCCATTTATAACTAGCCAACCAAAGAATGGCATCCACAAGATATTCACAATCAAATTACCGTCTGTCATCAGGCTATTTCCGAACCATTTCCTGTTGAATTATTAAAATGATGCTAACCAAAAGCACCCACTGGTGAGATGTCCTAGTGGAGAGGATTGGGGCACAAACGGAAGTGGAGGCATAATTGCATTCTGCATCGCATGGCTTACCCGATTCTCGATGAGCTTGTCGCACACATTGAAGACCGTCTTGATGGGATTCTTGTCCATGCGGATGGTCTTGTCGTAGTAGGTGACCTTTCGCGGCACATACTGCTGATCAAAGTTGAGATGCTGCACGAAGAAGGAAGGCGAAGCATTACAGTAGACAATCCGATTGGGAATCCAGTTAGCCTGGCTAACAGGCCTAAATTCTTACCGAAATGGTGGTGTGGAAGTGGGCCTCGCTCTCGGAATTGCTCAATACGCCTCCAATATTGTATGTCGAGGGATTATCGGATGCTGTGTGCCTTTGGGCGCCGGCAATTGCTGGCAGCGTCAGCAGGAGTCCCACAACAATGGCAGGCGCGAACAAAAGGCAGCGATAAACAAAGCGAGCGACGGCAGGGAAAGCAGAGGCAGCCATATTGTTGGGCACAAAGTTGTTTTGGGGGGGAAATGTGGCTTTTGTGTGTGATGTGATTCAATTGTTTTCCACCCAAACGTTGGACATTTTCTGCAATGGCAAGATAATTTTGAATGTTAATTTAAACGAATTAAAGACAAGAGATCACTGCACCGCCGCATCGATGAAAAAAAGTTCCGTTTCGCCAGCCAGATCGTCCAAAAAATATAATATTGGACGTGATGGCAGCGTTGTGCACGATCATATGGTCAGAGCTTTCTGGCAGCACTTGTTGCTTTTCAATGAATTTGAATTTGTTTCGTTTTTTTCTATCGTGTCGGTCGGACGTGTTTCGGTCGTGCTGCCCGTTGTGACGTCGTTGCTGTTTTCCGCCTTATCTACGCATACGCTGGCAAAACGGGGCGCAACAACAAAATCGGTTCAGTTCGTGTGCTGGAAAATTACAATTTCATACGCTTTAAGCAGCTAATTTATGGTTCAAATAATGGCCAATTCGTTGGCCTGCCGGCGGTGGGCGTAAGCCGTGCCCCACAAATTGGAAATGTGCAGTGGAAAAGTGAGAAAAATTGAAATTTTGGAAACGTATGAAAAATTGCCCATCGCGTTGCGCGTTTGGTTTGCCTTGCCTGGTGCTACGCTGGTGCTTGTTGGCTGGAGAAGTGGTGCGCGGGCCGGGAAAGGGAAACCCAATTGTTGACGTTGTTGTCAGCTCTTTTCGCTTTTTGCCTCTCCTTCTTTTAACCGGAATTGTTTGTCGCGTGTTTTTTTCTACGTTTTGTGTCTTTCTTATTGACAACCGTACCTCTCTCTCTGACTCTGTACCCACTTTTTGTAGCCGCTCTTTAACCCGCTCTTCTCTCGTTCTTCAAGCAGCATTGTTATTGTTATAATATGCGGTTTTTTGTACCCTCACAAGTGAAGGTATTGTGATTGTGAATTGGCATAGATGAAAACGAGTGTTACCAATGATAATTTAACAAAAAATTAGCAAGCTGTGGTTAAAAGTGTTTTTTCAATTTCTCGTCAATAGAAGTCAAAATTGAAAGAATAAATAATAAACCTCTCGTGAAAACGAATTTCCTATAAGGGTATCAATCGCTTCGCTTTCCGCAGTCTAAACGCCATTTGCTTTATTTATTATTCTTCTTTTTTGTGGTTAAGTGCGCGCACTCAAGGTGAAAATATATTAAAGTTCTTTCAAGTGCTTGAATCAAATAAATATTCAAATCAAATTCGATTTACGAGCTGTATGCCATTTCGTGTTTGGCTGGATGAATCAGTGGCTGAGCAAACCAGAAGCAGTTTTTTTTGTGTGTTTGAATACCCTTGGAATACAGTGCGATCTGTAAGTACAGCCCTTTAATTATAAAGAATAAGTTTAAAACCAGTATTAACCTGTTGCTCTTTTGCGCACTGGTTTAACAGGTTTTCCCAAAGGGCTAGCCGCTGATTAAAGTAGGTCATCATCCATTCCATCCAGACAATAAGCGCTCTTTCATATCAAGCTAATTATATAGATAACTATTATCTGGCCGACCGTCACGCCCATTTCAGACTGTTAGTGGGTACCGTTGAATAATAGAAAAGAAATCAAAGGCTGCACAAAAACCTTTCTGAGAATAACTGACTCGCTCTCTCCCTCTTTTGATACATTGCACTGAACAGAAGAAACAACTACCAAACGGAAAACGTCCTCTATTCAAACCAAAACCTTTTCCGTCAGCCTCACTCTCCCACCCACAGAATCAATTGCAATGCAGAGAACACCTTGCACTCTCTCTCTCTCTCACTCTCCCACCGCCAGCACTTATCTTGAATGAGAAGTGGTGAGGAGAGATGAGGAGGCAGACGCGTGTTTAATTAAGCGCCACATTGTTGACTGCCTGGTCCAAGAGAGCGGCGGGGGAAGCAGTGAGAGAGCAGTAGAGCTTTCTTGCCTGCAGTCAACTGAGAGTTCTGTTGAATGGCTGCTGGGTGCAGATAGGGAGAGGGAGGTGGAATATTTTGATGCTGCTTTTCCTTCAGCTGCACGCGATGAAATCAATTTAATTGCTTGGCATAAAAATTGCTTTTCCACTCAGAATTTTTGCACAAATTTACTGCAATCATGCACGAACGCACACAAGTATTTATTAATGCAACGACAGCTAATACGACCACACAATCACAACGACACCGACACGTAATGAGAGTCAATTAAACTCTCAGTGGAAATCAATGATTGGATCTGGAGAGAGTGCACACACAAACACGTTCACAAATTGGTATTCTTCATATTCAGATTGCATTTATATAAGGGGCGCAGAATTGACTCACTTTTCAGTACAACAAATTTAATGAAAATATGTCCCTTTCGGCAATCTCTCGACATCCAAGAAAACATTTTCTGCCCTTAACCCCTCGTATCTGTGGCAACAACCCACCTTAATTTAATGCACCTTGATTATGTGTAATGCAGCTGAATGGAGCGCCAAAGTTTAAGGTTGGGTAGCGCCGGCAATTAACATGAATAGACAAACTCGCGGACGTTCCGAAAACCGCTAAGCCATTCAAAAGCAACCAAAATATTTTAAAGCCTTGATGTTGCCGTAGGCAATTATTGGTGTACCGCAAACCGCTCCCCCGCAACCAGAAAACACAGCACTCAATTGTGGCGGTTCTTAAAATCTAAAGAAAGAGATCTCTGGTTCATTTGAAAAAAATGTTGCTTGAATTTAATCTTTATTACATAAAATATTGATGTAAAAGTTTTTGAAATTTTTGGGAAAGATTTTAGGAACACTCTCAATTCTGCTTACTGTTTCTGCACAGGCGGACCGCAAACCGCACTCCCTGGAGATTTCTGGAACACATTGAATTGTGTAAACGACAATTTCAGGCTATAAATAAAGTATGCCCCCACATCATAGCAACTCATTCGTACACTCTCTGCTTTCCTCTACCTCCCTGCCCTTTTTGAAAGTACTCCGAGCACACTTCATTGCAATTAACAAGAGTATGTGTGTGTGGAGGTCGTGTGGTTATCAATGGAGCAGACATGAATGTTGAAAAAAGTGTTCTCCGTTGCTTGTGGCTTAGCTGTGTTGGTGTTTGAGTGCTTTTGCCCCAGGTGAACCTCTCTCGAGCCCTTCAATAGAGACCTTTCAAAGACTAGACAAGGGTCAGACTTGAGAAAAAGAGCTGCATTACACACACATAGGGGAAAGGGTGTCTTCTAACACATAATTACTAGAGTACCACTTTTAATTGCTTTATGGCGGTTAATTATTAATAATAATTGTTGTAATGAAAACCCTTTGTGTTAATGATTCTACAATTGTTTTAAATCTACCTAAACTACTAAGTAGTTTTCACTTTTCTACTCGCACTCATTTCATCAGTGTTCATTCTCTCATCTCTCCACCAACCGCACTCATTTCTTATTAATCCCTATAAATAGTTGATTAGACTTTCAGCAGCTTTTGTTCTAGAGAATCTCATGGCTCATGGCCTCCAGGGAACCCTCAAGTTCAGGAGACTCTCCAACAGAGTACTCTTAATTTTCAGCTACAAAGCTACAGTTACTCTCCTTTTCCATTGATTCAAATCCCATACCCTAAATGGTTCATTGGAAATGCAGAAATCGAATGAGTAGGTCAGATGTCACTTAATGAACTATACAATTTCAATTGTATTTGGCTATTAAATTTCTTATTTATTAATTAATCTCCGAGCTTATTACCTCTAAGCTGGGAGAGATAACTCCAGATCTTAGTCAGCAGCTGAGTCAATTTCACTTTGTTTGTTCTCTATTTAATACCTACATATATGTATGAACGTACAAATGATTGTTTATTTTACTGTTTATATACTAGGTATCCCATAAAATAAGTTCAGATTAACTATAGTTTGTAGAAAGTTTAAAACCATCTGTGGATTAATGAGTGGCCAGAGAAGAATTTACTAAATAGTCTCTCCATTTCAAGTGACGGATGATTTACAATTTTATCAAGAAATCGATTCAAAGAATAGTTTTTTAATTAGGCTTATTTGCTTTTCTAATGATATCCATTAGAGTATTCCCAGTGCGGACTGACGATATATAGAATTTGCGCTGACAGGTTTTGTTTTACTATTTAATATAGCCCACGAAGTACGTGCCATGGCTAACATTTCATTTAATTTTCATTGTGGTTTTAGGTGCCTTTGGGCTTTCGGGGTGCGGGGATGTAATGCAGTTTCCGAGCTTGATTGCATGTGGGACGAGGAGAGTCCACTGAAACTGACTGCCACCCAAGCGAGTGTCGATGTGTGGATGTGGATGTAGCGGCGGCTTCAGTGTAATTTGAACTGACAGTTAGACAACAATGAAAGGGAATCTCATGCTCGACATCGACGGCCTGCATTTGATGAAAAGCTTTATTGAAATATTTGCGGTTTTCGATTTTCTATTTGTAATGTCTATTTTTCCATTGACATAAGAGATAGAGATACTTTTTAATGAAGGTCCAGCAGGTGCGAGGGCAAATTGTTTGACTTTTTTCATTGTTCATCAAATTGCAAATTGAATTTCAATGTTTCTGTGTTGGCATCGGATCGGATACTGTTTAAATTGAGGATATCCTGGATATCCAAGTCGATCGTCCTGGCTCGTCCTTAGGCCAATTGTAAGATAATTGAATTTGTACACAAAAATATAAATGGGAATTGTGCCCCCTATTTGAGTGCCAACAACAAATCCCAGAAGAGTCATCGTCTTCGTTGTCGTCTGGCGGCAGACAAAAGCTTCAATCAAGAAAGTCCCCAGCCCGAAGAACTTTTGAACTTTGTCTGGGAGTCCGCCCTGTATCTACGCCCTGTTGCTTTAACCTTTTATCCCTTTTTCTTGCCCCAATTCATTGTGCTCTTTGTGTGCTCCGTTTTGTGGCTTAGAAGGGGAAAGCCATCTAAGCTAATAACCAAGTCAAGGATGTCCGTCCAGAAGCCCAGGACTTTTGCTAAAGTGTTCGCAATTCCATTCGATATTTTTTGTGTGTTTTACAGCCATACTCGTATTTTCGTAGGCAATTTTACACAACCATTTTTCACACACGAATAGCCAAAACATATGTATGCCCTATTCCACTTCACTGCTTCCCCCAATCCCCATCCCTTAAGGAATACTGATGATAAGACCTTTGAGCCAGGGCCCCAGTTTTCGGAGCCCTCACTCTGTGCATGATTTCAAGCGTTGCACCATTGATGGTCTCCACGTTTTTTTCTTATTTCTCTTCATTGTTGGGGATAAGTGCTTTATGGCCAGAGTCATTCGATTCGATTCGACGGGCTTGGGCAACTATTTATATAGGTTTCAATGAAAAAATAGAGCATATATTTGAAGAGATTGCTTGCTCTCTGCTTCACTGCACATAAAGAAAATAATATAAAGGAAAAGAGAGAAAAGTTAAATGAAAAATATAAATTAGCTGAGTAATTATCGTTTGCATTCTTGAGACTAAGATACTAAGGTAAGCTATTCGTTTAAGGATCTTTCACATTATAATTCTTTTAATAAAATATTTTAATTTCAAAATCGGTTTTCACATCAGTTAAAGACACAACATTTTTTATTCTTTGGAAAATTGTTCTTCTTTATTGTTGATTTAGTAACCCTCAAAACATTTTACATATGTAACTTTCTAACAGCTTTCCATAGAAATAAGTCTGTATGTTTTATGTACACTTTATGTAGTTTTCTTGCGAAAAATCCTTTCGCTTGTCAATCGTATGCACTATTTGAAGTTGCGTTTCCCGATAACCAGGAACTATTAAACAATGGCATTAATCTTGGATCATTATCGAACAATGGTAATTTCGTATGTAAAGGGAAATTTCGCTGTTTTCTTTGATGGGGGTATAACACCTTATCAAAGAGAGGCGCCAGGGCCCACAGGTACAGCATGTAGATGAAGAAACACACAAGGATAATGATAACACCAACTACGATGGCCCTAACAATGCACTGGGATGTCATTGAGGGATCCATTATGAAGGGGATACCAGAAGCAGCAGCCACACCTTTCAATCAAAAAAAGAAGTCGCTTAAGAAGACACCATTTGCAGTCGTGGTACTACATCAGGATGCCAACGTGTCCATAACTATTATGGCATCCATATCCTAATCCTTTTACTGTTTTCACTCTTGAGTTCACTTTTTGTATGATTTTCGCGGCGGGGTGTGGTGAGGCGCCTCTAATCAAGTTATTGGCTTGAGGGACATCAGCAGCAGCAGGGGCGAGTGGGCGGGAGTGGCAGGAGGCAGGGCTTTAAGTTATGCAAACACTTTTGTGTGCCACTCCTACGGGATGCTTTGCTTTCTCTATTCTTTTTGCGCACACACACACACACACAATCACGCAGATAAAGAGAGGAAGAGTGAGAGAGAGATACACGCAGAGAACTTTCAACACACACGTACAAGGATACAAGACTCCGTATTTCCTTTTCTTAACTCGGAATTTATTGTATTTGGAAAATTAATCTTTCTAAATTTTCTATTTTTTCTATTAAACAACTAAGGAAAAGCCTGAGAGCTTTCAGCATCACACAAAAGTCACACACAAAGCAGGATTCGTTTCTCTCATCGAATGATGCTGCTGGCTGCCATACGCACCGTGTGGCGTGTGGCAAGGCAAGGCTTCCGTTCGACAGACTCCGCCTCGAGTGCTCGAGGATTCCGTTCCGTAAACCGAAATTAGTCCCTTTCGATGGGCACAAGTTGGCGCTTTGCGCCTTGCTCTACAACTGAAAATCCTTTCGAACTTTTTCTTGTGCTCTCCATAAGCTTTCATGCTTTAAGCTTATTTGGAAGCTTGTTGAAAGCTAAGCTACGCCTGCGCCTGGTGCATGTAAACAAATATTCCATCCAATCCATCTTTATTTTGTGCTTTACTCTTTGCTGTTTTCCTTCGCCTCTCCAGCTGTTTACACACGTGTTCGGGCAGCTGTTTCTGCTGCTGCCACTGCCAGTGCCTCTGCCTCTGTCTGCGTGTGCAGCGACGTTGGCGGTGCCACTTGTAGCTCTTTCGCAGCGGTTCACACGCATGTGATACGCTCCACTTATCGCCACGGCCACGCCACCGAGAGAGCTTTCCGTTTAGTTGCTTGGCTGATTTTCATGGTTTTTCCGGCTACATGTAAAGTGTATTCTCGCAGCGAGTACTCGTACTCGAGCGAAACGTTAGTTAATCCATTTAACCAACCATTTAATTGATTGCCTTTTGAGCACTCGATGATTATCATTTCAATCTAATTTGACAGCCCGATAGCGGGGGAGTCATGCGAATATATTTAAATTATAACTTAAATTTTAGTCGCGGGCTAACCGATGTGACGGGAAGGCGGCAATTTTTGTCCGGGGGAATAATTAATATTAAGTTGTATTCTTATTTAAAAAAAATACATTTATTTTAAGAATTAACGGAGTTGTTTAGCATTTTTTTCCCCATATTTCTTCACCCTGTAATCTTATCTTCAGGTATATTTTAACAACTTTTACAGGAACTACAATTATTTCTTAGGTTTTTTTTATCGTATTCAATCTTTGGTACTCTCGGGCTGTTTATAACTTAAAATAGGATCTTAGGATCATATACCACAAGGAGGCATTTGTTTAAAATAATAAACTCATTTGCCATAGGATGCTCGAGGCATATACACATATTCCGGCTCAAAATGATGTTCCAGTGTCAATCTAACAGTATCGGTGCCAACTGCTTCCATCTTTTGCACATGAGGTGGGAATTTACATATGTACATATGTCTCAAATGAATTATCCACAAGAAAAGAAGGCTAAAAACTCTCTTAAGCCGTGTCCCTGACCCGGCTTTCTTATCGCATGAAAGAACCTAAGAAACAAAAGGAAATAATATATGAATGTTCATCTGGCAACAGGGGCAGATGGCAGTGGGTTGGAATCACTCACTCAAGCGAAGGCACAGGCAGCAGAAAACTACTACCAGCAGCAGCACTAACAAGGCTAATTCCAAGCGTTGATGCGTAGACTTAGCTGAGTGATTGGAGAATCAAGAGTGTGGAACGAGCAGAAGAAGGAAAGACAGGCAGGCACAACATCAACCAGCCTCATGAATGAAAGGAAGAGTGCTTTTGCTTTCCGAATCCACTCAAAATTGGAGCAGAGAGCTGGACATTTCGGCGGTGGAAGCTCTGGAAAAGCTTATGACCTGAGCTTTCTGGCTCGACATAGAGAACTTTTCCAGCATTTTCATTTAACTGCTAGACGTTTATAGGTCGGCCTTTCGTCGGTTCGCGTCGGTTCGTGTCTCTGGGGCCGTGTTCCCCAAAAAATAAGAAAAATCTCCACTTCAAAGTGCTAATGTTGCCCACCGCAAACAAAAATAATTTCCCAAAGCAATTATTCATTGAAGATTGTTATTTATTATAAAAATTACGAACAACCCGCGAACCCGAACAAACGGATTCCTATTTTGTGTTTACTTGAAATTTGTAAGTTGAAAATGTACACCTGGAAAAACAGAAACAGGGAGAGATTCTACGGGGGGAAAAGCCTTCGTGTGGCGGCGGCCTCAGCTTCAGCTTCCGCCACCCACAAATAAAAAAAAAGGGAAAAAAAATATCTCAAATACCGAGTCATAGATTCATTCGTCTGTGTTTGTGTGTATATCTACATATATGTTTGTATGTATCTATGTACATATGTATGTTTATTATCTACCGCCCTCTCCACGCTCAACATTGCTGTAGGTAGAAATATCTGGATTATTGTGATTTTAATTGATGCGCCGCGTGTTAACCGAATATATGTATATCTAAAATAAATCCCATTTTAATTGTTCGCAGCAGCAAGGAGAAGTGGAGAAGCTGAGAGCTGTTGTGATAACAAAATAATTGCCATGCTCTTACAACAGATTTCCCTCCGCCTTCCGGAAAATGCCGTGAAATTGCAAAAGAAAGTAAATTAAATAATTGAAATGCTGCTCAGGGAAAGGTGATAGAATGGAACGAAAAGCTGAGATGTGAATGTCGTTTTGGAGCTGTGGCTGAAGCTTTATTTGATGGCACAGCTGTCGCTGCAGCTGCCTCGGTACTTCCTGACTTCAATCATCTCCTTCTGCTACTTTCAACCCTCCATCCTCTGCGTTGAGCCGGATTTGGGCGCATTCCTGAAGCGGGCCACCGACCCCCGTTAAGTGGCCTTCCAGCTCTAAGGAGAGGAGAAATTTATGAATTTTTCATTTCCTTCACTCACTGACATTGGCATTCCGTAAAGGAAGTTGAACTACGAGAGGCTTATGCTAATAACACGAGTATTAATACCCTTTAAAAATGTTAAAGAAGTAGGGTATGCACCTTTAAGAGGATTTTGGGGAAAAATGGCTGCATCCCATTTTAAAAGGGGATTGGCAGACTTACTAGCTTTAGGAGGATTCATGAAAAGATGGTCAATTGTGCTTTCTCAACAACGAATGTAAGTTTATATGGGCTGAAACATAAGGAATACCAAACGGAATGAGGAATAACTGTGTGAAAACAAATCTTTAATTAGCAGCAGTATAAACAGATTTTTGCAAGGGTATCTAAATCTTCGACTTTCAAGGAAAGCACTTCCTTTTCATCTAAAAGAAAAGTGCCAGAAAATAAAGCTTTACTGACTGCCGCTGTCAATCAGAGTGATTAACTTAAATCATATATCAATCTTGGATTGTTGCTCACATCTGCGGACATTTCTGAAAACCATGTGTGAGCTCTCTCATTTGTATTCCGTTGGGGTATTCCCCCAAGCATCAACTAATCACCAGAAATAAACAACAACAAAAAACACTCATATCGATCATTCTCCATGTATTTATTTTTTTTTATATGTTATTTTGGCCAGGGCAGCAGGAATAATTAAATAATGAAATACCAATGTACATACATACATATTATGTATGTACATATGTAGATTTCAGATAGGCTCAAATCTTTTGAGTCAAATGTCTAAATTATTTTATATATAATAGCAGGGCTCATTTGGAAACTGCTATTTCTGTTCGTTTTATATTAATTCTACAATTTACTTATTGTTTAAACAAACAAATTGTAAATATAAAGAGAGAGAGAGAGAAAAAAAAATTCATATCTAAAGAAGGATAAGGGGAAGAATATTCGCCGAGTATCTGCGAATCACTTTATAAAAAGAAAAGTATTACTCGTTAACACAAGTTTGATACAAATATACAAACAATTATAACAATTCAAAATGATTTCTGCACATAATTGAAGTAAAATAGGTTTTCCGAATTCCTAGAAAAAAAAACAAATATTCTTGCATATTTTAGGGAAGTATTAAAAGTACTCTTGGAATCACTTATAGATTGTGTAATATAAACTTTGGGTATCATTAATGCATACTAAAATTGTGGGAAATGGGAAGTAAACAATCTGTTAATTGCTATAGAAATGGAAAGCATTAGGCATTCTATATATTTAGTATATATTTTTAATTTCTTGTATAGATCAAGATTAGTACTACAAAATATAGACTTGTATTTCTGGGTTTTACCAATAGAATGAAATTGTTTATACTTAGAGACTGCCAATGTTATGAGATTTTCATTTTTTTTTTCTTTTATGGTTGGCAAAAATACACACATACATACAAAAATAGAAATATACATATATTTACATACATATGTATACCCACCCCAAAAGGGTGGCAAACTTTTCTCATAAGCCAACTTTCGCTTACATTTTACTAAAAACTTGCGAGCACTTGCTGAGAGGCTCCTTTAAACAATAAAACACCCTTCAGTAAACTTGTATGTGTGGTTCAATGGCTTGAAAATCGGAAGAAACAATGAAATGGCTCTGTAAATACAGACACGAATGTACACGTATGTAGCTTGTCCACCCATACAATAATTTCTGTGCTCATTCGTAATGCAGCCATTATCTACAGACAATTGTGGAAATAAATCATAAAAAGCATACTACAAGCGTCCAACAAAAATCGTTAAAAGCGACAACTTTTTGAATGGGAAAAAAGGTAAGGGAATGGTGCAAAACAACCGGGGGAATGGAAATGTTTGTTGGAAGTATTAAGCATACGCCAGAGTGTCACCAAGAAATGACAGACATGAGAGGGTGGAAACACTCTCTCATAATTATTAACCATACACTGCACGTATATTCCTCCATAGGGTGGTACCCATTGAACGGCGCAATGCCATCAGAGGGGTTGGTCAATAAATATTTTATAACTCAAAAACAAAAAAAAAAAAAAAAGAAAACAACAAAATTTAACATGACAGAAGAAAATAACACCCCAGTGAAAAGACAGTTCTTTATATCAGATTGAGGTCAGTGGGAGGAACCAATTAGGGAAAATATAAATCTATACGATCAGCAAAAAATAATAATATTGAAAATGATTTGCAAAGTAAAGAGATGGGGTTGGGAGAGTTTAGACTTAAATTTGTGCTTTTTGGTTGATTTTATGGAGCAGTTTAATTTCATGGAAAATACTATTAAAAGACGAATTTCATTGTACAAATAAGATAAAAAGATGAAACTCAACTGGGAACCATAAATATAATCTAGAAGTAGGAAAGATTACAGTTATTAAAGGCTTACACAGGCTGTAAATTATATGTAGGTATGTACATACATATATATGTAGGTATGTATAGACGTTATACAGATGATTCTGTATATGTGCATAAATCTTAAATTATCCGAGAGAACCGTGTGATACAATTTTTTTACATTTTAAGACCAAAAACTTAAACAAAGGATATGTTTCCTTAATTTTACTTTGTATGTATAACCTTTCTATGAATATCAATCACACGGCTAAAACACATTCTAATTGGTCGCTTCTTTCGCTTTTATTGCCTTTTTATGCTATTAAAAATGCTTTAAGATGCAAAAAATATGTGGGGGTGAAGGCGTAAACAAATTAAAATACAAAATGACTTGATACCTAAGAGCTTTAATGGATGCCGAATCTCATAAACAATGCCCTTAAACGCACACTTGAGGGTTTAATGATGTAATCAAATCATTTTGCTTTAATTAATTTATATATATAGAGTTTATTTGCTTAATTTAAAGCTATTAAAAACGCAACTTAAATCAATTATAAATGGTCTATAAACATACGAGTCACCCATTACCCCCTTGGACATGTAGTAAACATAATGTTTGTTCTCTTTTCTATAAAACGCCACAGGATAGACGAGAAGGAGGACAAATCATTGCAATTAATTCGCGTAAACGAGCCAACACAAAAGCCACGAGAAGACACAAGAAGCCACGAGAGGCACATGAGAGAGAGGCAGAGAACCCCCGAAGGCCACTGCACACACACACTCATCACACCCCTGGCATTCTCTGGGCCCCCTACCCGCCAAACAAAACATGGGCGACAATATAATAGGCTCTGCGAGCTTCCTGCACTTGGGGGACATTGTCTCCCTATATGCAGAGGGCAGCGTGTGTGGATTCTTGAGCACACTCGGGTAAGTGTTGTCCTGCAGCAAAACGATTACTGAATATTTTACCTAAACGTTTGCTTCTTCGACAGTCTGGTGGATGATCGTACGGTGGTATGCCCCGAGGCGGGTGACTTGAGTTGTCCGCCCAAAAAGTTTCGAGGTAAGTCGCCAAATAAAAGTAAACTTCACTAAGAAAAATCACTTATTTGTGTCTAACTCCACAGATTGCTTGATCAAAATATGTCCAATGAATCGATATTCAGCACAAAAACAGTTCTGGAAGGCAGCCAAACAATCAGCAAACTCCAACACAGATCCCAATCTGCTCAAGAGATTGCATGTAAGCATAAAATAGGAACCAAACCACAGGGAAGACTTTATCTTAAAAATTATGTCTATCTCTATTTACAGCACGCAGCAGAGATTGAGAAGAAACAAAACGAAACGGAGAACAAGAAGCTGCTGGGCACATCCATTCAATATGGCCGTGCTGTAGTGCAGCTTCTGCATCTAAAGTCCAACAAATATCTGACTGTGAACAAGCGACTGCCGTCGCTCCTCGAAAAGAACGCGATGCGCGTGTATCTGGATGCTAATGGGAATGAGGGATCCTGGTTCTACATCAAACCGTTCTACAAACTCCGCTCCATTGGGGACTATGTGGTGGTGGGGGATAAGGTGATACTCAGTCCGGTGAATGCCGATCAGCAGAATCTACATGTGGCGGCCAGCTACGAGCTGCCCGACAATCCCGGCTGCAAGGAGGTGAACGTCTTGAACTCCTCCACATCGTGGAAGATCTCTTTATTTATGGAGCACAAGGAGAACCAGGAGCACATACTCAAGGGTGGCGATGTGGTGCGTCTGTTCCATGCGGAACAGGAGAAATTCCTCACCATGGACGAGTACAAGAAGCAGTATCATGTGTTTCTAAGGACCACAGGACGCACCAGTGCCACGGCAGCCACCAGCAGCAAGGCCCTGTGGGAGATTGAAGTGGTGCAGCATGACTCGTGTCGCGGTGGTGCAGGCGACTGGAATTCCCTTTATCGCTTTAAGCATTTGGCCACGGGACACTATCTGGCCGCAGAAGCAGAGGTGGATGTGGCCGCTGGAATCTCTGCCTCTGTGGAGGCGGCACACGAACTGCTGCTGGGGGACTGCAGCAAGGATTCGGGACTGAGTTCTACAATGAATTCAACAATAAATGGTGAGGCATTGCGATTATGTTCCTGTAGCTCTTATAATCTCTTTTGATTTACAGAAAAACCCAAGGAGAAGCAATATCGACTCGTTTCCGTGCCCTATTCCGCTGACATTGCCTCGGTTTTTGTACTGGACGCAACCACCATGGCCCGACCGGACAGTCTGGTTCCACAGTCCAGCTATGTGCGGCTGCAGCACATCTGCTCCAATACGTGGGTGCATGCCACATCGATACCCATCGATGCGGATGACGACAAGCCGGTGATGTCGAAGGTCTGCTGCTCACCCATCAAAGAGGACAAGGAGGCCTTTGCTTTGATACCCGTCTCCCCCGTGGAAGTGCGTGATTTGGATTTTGCAAACGATGCGTGCAAGGTGCTGGCGCTGGTCACCAGCAAGCTGGACAATGGCAGCATCTCGATCAATGAGCGGCGGGCGTTGATCTCCCTACTCCAGGACATTGTCTACTTTATAGCCGGAATGGAGAATGAGCAGAACAAGACAAAGGCATTGGAGTTTACCATCAAGAATCCAATCAGGGACCGCCAGAAGCTGCTGCGAGAGCAGTACATACTCAAACAGTTGTTCAAGATACTCCAGGGACCGTTCCAAGAGCACACCGCAGGCGATGGTCCTTTCCTAAGGCTAGATGAGCTGGGGGACCCCAAGAATGCGCCCTACAAGAACATCTTTAGGCTGTGCTACCGCATACTGCGGCTGTCGCAGCAGGACTACCGCAAGAATCAGGAATACATAGCCAAGCACTTTGGCCTGATGCAGAAGCAGATCGGCTACGACATCCTGGCCGAGGACACCATCACTGCGCTGCTGCACAACAATCGCAAGCTGCTAGAGAAACATATCACCGCCGCCGAGATTGAGACATTTGTGGGACTCGTGCGTAAGAATATGCACAACTGGGACTCGCGTTTCCTCGACTATCTGTCTGATTTGTGTGTGTCGAATCGCAAAGCCATTGCCGTCACCCAGGAGCTGATCTGCAAGAGTGTACTCAGCGATAAGAACAAGGACATACTCATCGAGACACAGGTGAAGGCCCTAAAGAACACTTCGACATTGGTGCGCTGCTACAAGGGCACCACCGAGGATGTGTGCCTGGCCACGCTCACCGAAGTGGCAGGCGATGACGAGGATCGTTCCGATGTGCAGTCCACATCTACCACCACAACGTGGGATAGTGCCAGCTTGAATGAAGAGGAGGATCTGATGTCGCCGGGAGATAAATATGAAATACATTTGAAATGGACTGGACAGCCGGTGAGGGGCAAACAGATAGCGACGCAGCAATGGAAGATTATATTTTCTATCTTTTTGTAGACCTCTCGATCGATGGCAGATCTGGCCGATTCAGTGGCCGATGGCTCTGAGCAGGATGCCGCGATACTCAATTACTATCGCCATCAGTTAAATCTGTTCTCCAATATGTGCCTAAACCGTCAGTACTTGGCTCTGAATGAACTCTCGCCACTCCTGGACATTGATTTGATTCTCAAGTGAATAATTATTAAAGAAAACAAATAGAGTTTCCTGCTAACACTTAACCTTTCCGCAGATGCATGTCGGATGAAACGATGCCCTACGAGCTGCGTGCCTCCTTCTGTCGTCTGATGCTGCATTTGCATGTGGATCGTGATCCACAGGAGCCTGTTACGCCTGTCAAATATGCACGTCTGTGGAGTGAAATTCACACAAAGATGTCCATTATGGAGTGAGTAAATCTGAGAAGAATCTTTTTAGCATTTCTGATTTTCTTTTGTTTGCAGCTACGATGGCAAGAACCAGCAACCGGATCAGAATAAGCAGGCTTGCCGCGCCAAATTCAACACCACAATTGCCTTTGTGGAGAACTATCTGTGCAATGTGGCCACCAAAGTTTGGCTCTTTACCGATCAAGAGCAAAATAAACTCACATTTGAGGTGGGAAAACCCATAGAAATAATCTACCAAAATATCTAACTGAATGAATCTCTTGTAGGTGGTAAAGCTAGCTAGAGATTTGATATACTTTGGCTTCTACAGCTTCAGTGATCTGTTGAGGCTAACCAAGACGTTGCTCTCCATTCTGGACTGTGTGTCGGATACCTCTACGGGTGGAGCCTTTGCCAGCACAGATATTGATTGTAAGTAACCACAAAAACATATTTGAAAATACATCTAGAGATTTGTTCATTTGTCATTTTGATTGGTATTTTCATTGACAAGCTGTCGAAGAGGAGACAAAAGCCGATGGTAATCATTCATTTCGAGAAGATCCTAAGGAACCGCAGAAGATATTCATTTAATCATTCCTATTTTTCCACACATTACAGCTGAAGGCGGTGTACTCCGTTCCATTGGTGACATAAATACAGTGATGACATCGTTGGCGCTCGGTTCGGTGGGTCAGGCCATTGCGGCCCCTTCTATGGCCCTGCAGCAGCGCAAGAGTGTGTCCCAACTAATGAAGGAGTACCCTTTGGTGATGGACACCAAACTCAAGATCATAGAGATACTCCAATTCATACTGGATGTGCGCTTGGACTACAGAATCAGCTGCTTGCTGTCCATCTTCAAACGGGAGTTTGACGAAACCGATGTGGCGGCTTCCGCCTCAAATGTAGCAGAGTCTGGCACTCCACAGCCACAGCAGCAGCCCCAGCAACAGTCACAACCATCACCTTTGAGCACACCCAATGATTCCAATGATCCCAACGATCCCATGGCCAACGCAGAATCCATGGCTGCTGCAGCAGAAGCGGCTGCGGCTGCCACAGCGAGACAGAAGAACATCGACCTGGAGTCCATAGGGGTGCAGGCGGAGGGGATCTTTGACTGCGAGCGCAGTGATGCTGCCAATCTGGATTTGGATGGCCAGGGCGGACGCACATTTCTGCGAGTGCTCCTCCATCTGATAATGCACGACTATGCGCCTTTGGTTTCGGGTGCACTGCATCTGCTTTTCCGTCACTTTAGCCAACGCCAGGAAGTTCTACAGGCCTTTAGACAGGTGTGTGTTTACCAGAGGGAGAGAGAGTTTACATTTTATCATTGATTTTTGATTTTTTAAATGCTCTTGCAATGATATAATGAAGAATGTAGAATTTCATGTTGTAAAAGTAGAATTAATGCTAGAGAATGATGCTTCAAGGTTCGAGGGCATTCTCTTTTGAATTTTTCGCTTGTGCGTCTCGAGTCGAGCATTAATATGACCCCGAAATGTGCCCACATCTGCTATATAGCTATAATTTTAGTAGATTCACTGATATATCCATCATCTACCCATCTTCTATAATTTATTAGTGAAATTTGCAAGAGTATTGTAGTCCTACGGCATGCCGTTGATCTTATATGTAGCTAACGTATTCAACTAACACTTTAATCGATCTAATACTCATCTTTTCTCTTGTGTTTGCATGTGCTAACTCTCTCAATCTCTCTCTCTATACAATATAACCATCATATATATGTATCTCGATCGAACCGAATCACTATATATCGTATGCAATCGTTTTTCATATAAATAACAAAATAACAAAAACCACACCAACAATTGTATGCTAAAAACTAACTAACTAACAATAGTGGACGTATTCCGCATACCGTACTGAACGCTCTTTTGATTTTGTATGTACCCATGATATTTTCAAAACGAAACCTCAAAGGAGGATTCCTTAAACAGCTCCTAACTTGCATTATTGTCTGCCCCTTGCAGGTGCAACTTCTCGTCTCGGACAGCGATGTGGAGTCGTACAAGCAGATCAAATCTGATCTGGATATACTGCGGCAGAGTGTGGAGAAGTCCGAGCTGTGGGTGTACAAGGCCAAGGCCACGGACGAGCTGGGGGGCACAGATCCAGCTGGGGATGCCGTCAATGTGGAGTACAATGCGGCTCTGTCCCAGGAGCAGCGCAACGAGTACCGCAAGGTCAAGGAGATCCTAATGCGAATGAACAAATTCTGCGTCACGGCCTCTGGGCATGGCCTCGGATCATCGATGGTGAAGCCGCGCAAGCATGAGCAGCGACTCCTAAGGAATGTGGGTGTGCACACGGTCGTACTGGATCTGCTACAGAATCCCTATGACGAGAAGGACGATGAACTGATGAAGGAACTGATGTGCTTGGCCCACGAATTCCTGCAAAACTTTTGCCTGGGCAACCAGCAGAATCAAGTTCTGCTCCACAATCATCTCGATTTGTTCCTGAATCCTGGAGTAAAACATTTTTCAATTTATATTTTCTCTAAGTATTGTACTAATTATGGAATCATCTGCAGATACTCGAGGCCAAGACAGTGTGTGCCATCTTCAAGGATAACCTGGCGCTGTGCAATGAAGTGACAGATAAGGTGGTGCAGCACTTTGTGCACTGCATCGAAATACATGGCAGGCATGTGGCCTATTTGCAGTTCCTTCAGACCATTGTCAAGGCGGAGAATCAGTTCATTCGAAAGTGCCAGGACATGGTAATGCAGGAGCTAATCAATTCCGGGGAGGATGTGCTCGTGTTCTACAACGATAAGACCTCGTTCCAGCACTTTGTGCAGATGATGCAGCAACAGCAGCTGTCCCGAATGGAGAAGCTCAGCGATGACAGTCCGCTGAAGTACCACGTGGAGCTGGTCAAGCTTCTCGCCTGCTGCACCATGGGCAAGAACGTGTACACGGAGATCAAGTGCAACAATCTGATCTCGCTGGATGACATCGTCACGATCATCTGCCATCCGCTGTGCATGCCCGAGGTGAAGGAGGCCTATGTGGACTTCCTCAATCACTGCTACGTCGACACGGAGGTGGAGATGAAGGAAATCTATGCCTCGGGCCACATGTGGAACCTCTTCGAAAAGAGCTTCCTGGTGGACATCCATCAGTTGATCTCGAATGCCGCCGCCAGTGCGAACAAGACGCTGCAGGCGTACGTTTTGAATGGGGTAACCAATCTGCTGGGCAGCTTCTTCTCCAGCCCCTTCTCAGACCAGAGCGCCATCGTGCAGACGCGTCAGTTGATCTTCGTGCAGCTCCTGCAGGCCGCCTACCGCCTCACCCAATGCAAATGGATGTCGCTGGCGGACCGATTCAATGTCGAGAACTGCATCCGCACGCTGGTCGAGTCGGCCAAGATGCGCAGCATTGCCCTGCCGCTGGAGTTGGAGCAGCAGGTAGCCAATATGTCCAGCAAGACGGCCATGCTCACGCGCCAGACGACCAAGTGGCTGCTGGCCTCAAAGCAACCGAAATACGAGACCCAACAGTCGGCCAGCCTGATGCGGTGGGACCGCTCGATCATCGAGGGCCTGCAGGACATTGTCTCGCTGCTGGAAGATCAGCTGAAGCCCGTGGTGGAGGCGGAGCTCTCGCTGCTCGTGGACATCCTCTACCGCTCGGAATTGCTCTTCCCCGCTGGCACAGAGGCCCGCAAGCGCTGCGAGAGCGGGGGCTTCATCCGCAAACTGATCAAGCACACCGAGAAGCTGCTGGAGGAGAAGGAGGAGCGCATGTGCGTTAAGGTGCTGCGCACACTCCGCGAAATGATGGCCATCGATGTGAACTACGGCGAGAAGGGGGATGCCCTGCGTCAGACGCTCTTGCTGCGCTACTTCCAGTGCAAGAGCACACCCAGGCTGGAGGAGGACATGTTGTTGCCCCTCCGCGCAGCCGTGCCGCCCATGTCGGAGATGGCCAAGCAGCACCATCTCGTGACCCACGGACCGGGTGCCAAGTACCTGGCGAGGGCGGGCAAGACCCTACACGAGATGCAGAACCATCTGGATCGCGAGGGTGCCTCCGATCTGGTGGTGGAGCTGGTCATCAAGTCGGTGCACTCGCCCAACATATTCGTGGAGGCCGTGGAGCTGGGCATTGCGCTGCTGGAGGGTGGCAATCCGATCATCCAGAAGGGCATATTCCAAAAGTTCCTCAGCGACGACCTCAACCAGGCCTTCTTCAAGGTATTCTTCGAGAAGATGAAGGATGCCCAGCAGGAAATCAAGTCCACGGTTACCGTGAACACCACGGACATTGCCGCCAAAGCGCATGAGCACAAGACAGACACGAATCTGGAGTTGGATAAGGTCTCCCGCAAGCATGGCTTAAAGAGCAATGGAGTGGTCATCACCGAGGAACTGAAGCGAGAGCTTCACAATGCCGGGCTGGCCACAGTGCGGGCGTATGGCAATGCACGGATTATCCACTCCGGTGAGGAGAGCTCCTCGATCAGTGTGAACAGTCCGCTGGAGGATATACTGGCCGAGAAGCTCGAAAAGCACAAGGACAGCAAGGAGCAGCGCAATCAGCTCTCCAACAAGGTGCTCGTCATGCAGCCGATCCTCCGCTTCCTGCAGCTCCTCTGCGAGAACCACAATCCCGACATGCAGAACCTGCTGCGTAATCAGAACAACAAAACAAACAACAATCTGGTGTCCGAGACGCTGATGTTCCTCGACTGCATCTGCGGCTCGACCACCGGCGGCCTGGGACTCCTGGGGCTCTACATCAACGAGCACAATGTGGCGCTGATCAACCAGACGCTGGAAACACTCACCGAGTACTGCCAGGGGCCCTGCCATGAGAACCAGAACTGCATTGCCACCCACGAATCGAATGGGCTGGACATTATCACGGCTCTGATTCTGAACAACATCAATCCGCTGGGCGAGAACCGCATGGATCTGGTACTGGAGCTAAAAAACAACGCCTCCAAGCTGCTGCTGGCCATCATGGAGAGCCGCGGCGACAGCGAGAATGCGGAGCGCATACTCTACAACATGAATCCCAAGCAGCTGGTGGAGGTGGCCTGCAAGGCCTACCACCAGGAGGAACTGATCGATGAGCATGACGAAGCGGATGAGCCGGATGCGGCGACCGATGACGACGATGCTACTGTGAGTCCCCGCGAAGTGGGCCACAACATTTACATACTGTGTCATCAGCTGGCGCAGCACAACAAGGAGCTGGCCGGGCTGCTCAAGGCCTCCGAGGATCCACAATCGGCCAGCTTTGATGCCAAGACCAGCCAGGCTCTCATGTACTATGCCACGCACACGGCACAAATTGAGGTATGACCAACCCATAGATCGTTTAGGGATTGCCTTCAAGTCCTGGTTTCTTTATAGATTGTACGCAATGATCGCACCTTGGAGCAGATTGTCTTTCCCATACCAGAAATCTGCGAATACTTGACCACGGATACGAAAATCAAAATTCTCAACACTGCCGAACGGGATGATCAGGGCTCAAAGGTGGCTGACTTCTTTGACAAAGCCGAGGAGATGTTCAACGAGATGAAATGGCAAAAGAAGCTAAGAAGTAGGCATATACACCTGCCATTTTGATTGATTACTCAAGGATTTGTCACTCTTCTAGGTCAACCCTTACTGTTTTGGATCAGCAGCTACATGTCGCTGTGGAGCAACATACTCTTCAATTGTGTGGTTGTCATTAATATAATTGTGGCCCTTTTCTATCCCTTTGACAAAAGTAATACTGTACCAGGTGAGAATATATACAGCTTATACAGTAAGCTGGGAAGGGATTGTGCAAGAGAACAGCTTAGATGATGCTTAGCTGTCGTATTAAAACATATAGAGCAATGTTTACAGCAATTAGAAAAGCATAAATAAATAATTATCAATGAGATTTCAAAGCTGAAATCAGGCTGCATTCTTCACAATCTGCTGGAAATTCGAAATTTGATTTTATATTTTGTTCACTTTCAGAACTGAGTCCGCACATTTCGCTGCTATTCTGGATCATAATGCTACTGTCCTTGGTCTTTGTGATAATGCTGCCACGTGCATCTGGCATACGAACACTTATAGCCTCCGCCATATTACGCTCAAACTTTTTACTGGGACCAGAGTCAACGCTCTGTTTGCTTGGAGTTGTCACGGTATGTACTCGAGATTCCTTAATTTATTGTAATCTGTTATTCCAAATCCTTTTTATAGGTCACACTCAAGAGCGTTCACATAGTCAGCATAATGGGCAACAAGGGAACATTGGAGAAGAAATTGATCAAAATAATCACCGATATGCAGTTGCTTTATCATTGCATTTATATTGCATTCTGTTTCTGTGGTCTGATTGTTCATCCATTCTTCTATTCCTTGTTGGTATGTCTAATGATCCTTCTGATTATTTTGATCTTTAATCGAATATGTTTTCCACCAGCTCTTTGATGTGGTCTATCGCGAGGAGACGCTGGTCAATGTCATCCGTTCGGTGACACGCAATGGACGCTCGATAGTGCTGACTGCTGTGCTGGCTCTGATTTTGGTCTACTTGTTCTCCATCATTGGCTACATGTTCTTTAGAGATGACTTCCTGGTCAGTGTGGACTTTGAGGAGCAGGAGAATGCCGCCTCACCGCTGGCCATGCCACCGGTGACGATCTCAGTGCCGCCAGCGGTAGAAGAGTTTTGTGCGTCACCCGATGCGCTGGGAAATTGTGCAGGCAACAATCCAGCAGCTAGCAGCGCCAGTGCTGGCGGAGATGTAAAGGAACGTTCGTGTGACTCTCTGGTCATGTGCATTGTGACCACACTGAATCAGGGACTGCGGAATGGCGGCGGCATTGGTGATATTCTCAGGGCGCCCTCTAGCAAGGTATTACAGATATCATTTTGATACATTTTTCCCTGACGATTCCTAATGTGTGTTTGTTTCCTTGCAGGAGGGTCTGTTTGTGGCTCGAGTAATCTACGATCTGCTGTTCTTCTTCATTGTGATCATTATCGTTTTGAATCTAATCTTTGGTGTGATCATCGACACCTTTGCCGATCTACGATCGGAGAAGCAACAAAAGGAGGCCATACTGAAGACGACCTGCTTCGTGTGCTCCCTCAATCGGTCGGCATTCGACAACAAGACAGTCAGCTTCGAGGAGCACATCAAGAGCGAGCACAACATGTGGCACTATCTGTACTTTATTGTCCTGGTCAAGGTGAAGGACCCCACCGAATTCACCGGTCCCGAAAGCTATGTCTATGCCATGGTCAAGGCCGGCATACTCGAATGGTTTCCCCGCCTGCGGGCCATGTCCCTGGCGGCTGTGGATGCGGATGGCGAGCAGATTGAGCTGCGCAGCATGCAGACCCAACTGCTGGAGACGCAACTGCTCATCAAGAATCTGTCCACGCAACTGCACGAGCTCAAGGACCATATGACCGAGCAGCGCAAACAGAAACAGCGCCTGGGTCTGCTCAACACAACGGCAAACAGCCTCCTGCCGTTTCAATGAAGATAAATCCGATTAGAATAGATAACGTAACCCTTCCTTCTTTGCACTTAATTTTGGTAAACATTCCCCATGCACTCACGTAGATATGAGAACCTTAAAGAAACTCTCATTCTCAGAGGGTACACTCCTGGAGTGATACAAGATTATTTATCTCGCGTATCGAGTGTCCCCGAATTACTTCTTCTGTATTAGATTCGAATTCCAAGAGCAACATAGAAACTTGCTCAAATAACACTTCTCCCTCTAGAAATAATCTTCGCAATCTTATATGCTAAAACCAACAACTAACTGAATAACTGAATATATAGTGAACTCACACTCAGAGAACTTAGGGCTGTTAACATGTTAATTAGTGGGCGTGTTAAGCATTTTTTTCACAATCTAGACAAGGTCTTTCCGCCTTACCTCTACCCTCCACCCTCTTATACCCTTGTTGACTCTAAAATACCTGAATGCTAGAATCTAGAGCTGTAGTTAACTTGAACATGTTCGCCGAGCGACCTCAAAAAACAATTTTCGGAAAAGTTTTACGCTGTTTTAAGTTACTTTAGTTAATTGTTAATAAAATATACGAATAATTTCTCATAAGTTTTTTAATATCAGAAACAATCGATTTGCAATCAAAACTAATTATTGTGATTACACCTTTTTCTTCCATTTATATTTCGATTCCGTTCCGTTTTCATCCTTGAATGGTTTACTTAGTACTCGAAACGAGTTTTGTTGGTTAAATTCATTCTAAGCTAACATCTAGATTGTATCCTAAGAAAAACTAAACTACATTTAAGTGCAACTTTATATCTTTACATATAAATGCATATACATAAATATCTTTTAAATAAAGACCATGAAATTAAGACGCGATCATCTTTAAAGGGTTTACCTATCCCACGCTACTAGTATACTGCAACGCTTGCAAAACGATAGGAAATCCGGTTTAATTATGATACTAAAATTGGTTACACTTCCGCAAAGGATCTGCCTTTCCAGATTAGGGAGAATCAAGATAAAAACACGATTAGCTTTGATTATTTTTAGCCAACATTTTTATTATTACATATTACACTACAAGTTTGCGAGCAGCTTTTCAAGGGTCGAAGGTTGTAAACGAATAATTGAATATTCATTTACGACTTGAGGACACTTGAAAAGCTTCCGGCACACATCATTCATTCATAGTTTATTGTTACATCTGGTTTTTTGTTTAAACGTTTTACATAAAATTGTTTAATGCATCTTTATGAGCTTTGCCGTTCTCGGTTTTAATTTGCTTGGTTTTTGCTTTTGCTTTTGTTTAATTTGTATATCTACGTATTTGATGTAAATGTTTTGTATATTTTTATGTAAAGATTCATTCCATTGGTTGGTTGGTTTGCATTGCCTTTCATTGTTCCAAATTAGAATAAATATAAAAAACGTTGTACAAAATCAGTTAAAAGATCTAAACATATAAACATTGGAAGAAAGCTGCCGGAACGATGACGAAATTCGGATGGGTTTTCGAGTGCGAAATACGTAATCAGGAAACAATATTAATACTTGAATTTGTGGCAGTTAAAAATAGTGGTTAGTGTCTGCGAAATACTTGGAGGGCATCTTGCTCTGGGGAGGGAGTCAGATTGGAATTCGATTTGGGTTTGGAAAATGGCAGATACAAAAAACGCCTCAACAGTTTTTTAATTTACGATAACCTCCTGAATATAATATATCTACTATATATATGTATATTGTATATATAAATGTAAAAATGTTTATCCTTCTTTTCCTATTTATCATTACTTTACGCTGCCTTTTGTTGAACATCATTAATAATTTCCATAAATGTAGTTTGGTTGGAAGAAAAATTATTGGAGAAGTTAAAACATATACATATGTAGGTATTTAGTAATCAGAGTGTGTGTGTGTGTTTTTCTATAAATAAATTAGTTATTAATTAACAATATTTGTTCAACTGCTCTTAGTACAATTCGAGGCATTATAATACAAATTAGTTTCTCTTGCGGTTCGGTTTAAAATTAATATTCGTTTTTGTATCGTTAGAGGTACAAAGAAAAAATCTCATGGCATATTTGTTGTATATATAATTAATAACTATTTCGTGGTATGGAAAACAATAGGTAAAAAACGTTGTCATGGGGCTGCGTTTGTGTTTTGGTATTTGTTTAGTAGTTTTGCATAAGAAGAATTCGAGTTAAATTGCTGCATAAAATTAGCTTGCGACTAGATTGAAGTTTTCTGCTGCTTTGCTTTCGAGTTGTGTATGCAGTGTAGATACTTTATATATTTAGTATATATACTAACAAATCATATATGTATATCATATACGCATATGTATGTAAATATAGATATATATATATGGGATAAATTTGTTCATATTACACGTTAACTAGCGCGGCTGCTTTTGGTGATTCTACAATGAAAAGGGGAGTGAGTGAGTCCTCCAAAGAAGCTTGGACAGTTTGCAAACTTTTAAAGCGGTTTCATAGAGGGATACAGGGACATAAAAGACAACTCTTAAAACAATAATCGAGATAAAAACAGGATTATGCATATCTTCATTTAAAAGCGAGCAGCCACGCATATCTCTATGGGTATATATGGGTTAGATATATACTTGTGTGCCCCCGAACCAGAGAGACAGTGGGGCCTGTTAGACAGTTGTGCCATAGGCATTGTTAAACACAGCCCGCGAACTGTCCGTGTCCAGTGATATATCCTCGGGACTGGCCAAATCTACGCGCACATTTGAGTTGGTACGACGACGGGCGGTCTGTGCAGCTCCCCAATTACTTAGGGTCCAATGGAAGCCGGAGGAGCCCGATGGTGGTTCAGCGTCCACTTTGACCTGCGTACACACCTATTTGGAAATGCAGAGAAGTCAATAAAGCATGGCTCTAAGAAGAATGATTCGTTATCTCACCTCACGATTGCCACAAGGCAGAGTTTCGGTGCCATTACCCAGAGCGGAGCCAGAGACTGAACCAGAGCCAGAGTCCCTGGTGCTGCCAATGCTGCTGCTGCTGTCCAGCGAATCATTGCTGGACTCGATCACCGCTCCACGATAACGCGCCACAGACTGGACAGCCTATAATACATGGAGAAGGATTAGACATATAGATTTCAGAGCTGATTATGGGACAGCTTACCATTGCATCGCCGCCTTGGCAATCCTCAATTGATTTCAGTATCTCCCAGACCAGCTCCGAGTCCAAAGGAATGGGCTGTTCCGTGTCGCGATTGAAAATAGCTATGGCAATGTGCACGGGATGCGGCACTGGCAGAGGTATGAGCAGATTTTCCGTCACACTCTTGTCACCGCACTGCTGCTTCCATGGTCTCCAGGGCTTCTGGCCATCCTGCCCCGCTTTCGGTATATGTTGGGCCCGATGGGCGCGTACTCGCGGCGTGGTCAGACCCACAGACATGTCCCGCTTCTCGGGCTTGCGGAAAGTGAGCGTTATGCGGGAGCGCGGATTAAAAGCGGTCACCTCAAGAAAAGGCAGATGTACCTGCACATTGCCGCGCGGGGCATACACATTGCCCAGCAGGTCCAGCCCTTTGGAGCCGATCACATCATTGGCATTCTTCACCATCTCCGTATAGCGCATCAGATCGAGTGAGGCATGTGGTTCTAGCTTAAAATGGGTATCGTGTTCAGTCAATGGCGTTAGAAAATCTAAACTAAATATGTCGGTGTATATAAGACCAGCCAAACCCGGCCAGTCGTTAACCGTGAGACCCTGTAAAAATGTAACAATTATTTATGATTTTAATTCAAAAGATAAGGTAAGGTTCACACTCACCTTGTTATCCCAAAATTCTTCTTCGGTAATCGACAGTCTGCCGATGACATGAGACGGATAATACTTCTCTAATATATGGGCGGCCAATTGTATTGCAATCTACGGGACACCAATGGATAAGTATTCATTTGGGTTCACTCTCATCATGGTACGTACCTTCAATTCTTTGGTATTCAGCTTAATGCGCGACTTGACCTGAGTGGTCAGTGCCGTTTGCAGTTCACGTCGCCGTTTCTCCAGCTTCTCGTGCAGCGTGCTCATCAAATCCTGCGCCTCTCGATCAAGCGACAAGTACGGACCAATCTTGCTGATTTGAGCGGAGAAGGGTCCAAAGCAGGCCTCGACAAACTGCAGGAAATCCTGCTGTGGCTGCAGAACCACCCGTTCGGTGGCATGTTGATATGCCTGCAATTCGTCCAGTTCCATTTTAGCCTCTAGCGCGGCCAGGGCCTGCTCTGGTCTGATTATAAAGTAGTAGTCCAGGGCCAAACCAGGTCCAGCAATCCGTTTCACTGCAATGCTATCAGAGGCAGGCACGCGTCCGCATTTCTTGATGAAAAGATGGTAGGTGAGCGAGTCCCAGACAAGCCGCAGTGTATACCGAATGACACCAACTGGAAAAGTACAGCTTAAAAGATTGACAGACACGATCTCATGGCACTCAGATAGATTTTTTACCTATAAAGACAATCCCTGCTGCCAAGGGACAGATGAGTGTGGCGACCAGAACCGCCGCCACCGGCTGCAACAGTCCCTGTATTAGTAGATTCCAAACAATGGCCTCCAGTAAAATGCAATAACGATTCTTCGTATTATCCGGCGCATCCAGATCATAAATGAGTATCATATAAATGTGCAACAGCAGCACAAAGACGGGTATCCACAGCGGGGCAGTGATAGCCAGGCCAATGCTCAGCAAACTGGTGGCCAGACAGATCAATGGAAATGCGAACAGAATGATAACGGTCCCCAGGAAACCCTTCACGAAGTAATTCCATGTGCGATTTAGATTACGCGTCAATCCCTTGCCAATAAATCCTGCCATGAATGTACGTAATAAAGCGAAGAACTACCAAGATTATCATCCGCACTTACCCGTATCGGGTTCCGTCTCGAAATGCGTGCGTGATTTTGATATGTGCCGCCAGAGCTCAATGAGACGCGAGGCCATGGTCTGTGTGATGCTCGTCTTTCGCGGAAACAGCGTTCCATTGATCTGTGACAGTTCCAGGTCCGGCATGAAGGGTTTCACATAACAGAGAGCGCGCAGTCCCAGAGGACTACACCATGGGACGAGTATGCCGAGAAGGAACATCATGTTCCAGGACCAGCACCATATTCTCTGCAGCATGTTCAGCAGTCGCCAGAAGGGCCAGCGCGTGCTCGTGGTGCGTATGATCTCTTTTTCGACGAGGAACACGGGCTGGCTGGGGTCGGAACGTGGCGTCACAATAGAAGTGGCATGCTGGCTGATGACAGTGGGTATCACATCAGACTGGCCCTGGAAATTGCGGCGAATGATCCACGATTGCGGCGACCAAATGCGACAGGCCCACTGAAAGCTGCGAGTGGGCGTCTTGGCGTTCTTCAGCTCCTTCAGCAGCACTGGCTCACGCTCCTTCATGAAGGCCAGATCGCGGGAGAGGAAGTAGGCGGTCTGATGGAGCTGGTGCTGGGTGCACATCTTCAGCGCCTCTTCATGGGCCGACCAGGCGCACTTGTACAGTCGGTTCTCCTCGGCATTTCGGAGCTTGGAGCGCAGCCAGGGCGCTACGCGCGACAACACAGAGTGATCGTTGGACAGACACTTTTGGTGATCCTCGCGCGTGCGCTTGATGTCCTGCTGCACCTTGTCCACAGCCTTGTACATGATCACCACGGACTGGGCCTGCTGGACGAGCAGCTCGGGCACGCCGGTACCCAGCTCGGCCAACTTGGCATTGCCCACAATGGAGCTGTAGACGCGCTGCAAATACTCCTTCATCACGGCCTCGTTAACCTCCTCTTCGATCTCCTTATCGTTGAGCTTCTTGGCCCTCAGCTCGGCAATCAGACGCTCACGGAAATGCAAAAACCAGCCACGCGTCTCCCTCTCCAAAATGCCAATTAGGATGGGCAAAGCCTTGCGCATGATGTCGCGACAGAACAGACGCAAATCGATTTCCTGTCCCTTGGGCGTGAGGAACAAATAGGGCACGGGCTGGCTGACCTCACAGCTATTGAAATCGAACTTTTCCATGGTGGCACGGCGCAGCATTTTACGAACATAAGAGCACAGGCCATCCAGGCAGTCCTCGAACTCGGGCTGTGTAGGTGGAAGGAGAGATTTAATAAATCAATCAAACAGATAAATCTAAAATCTTACCCGGCAAACCAGTTCGGCTATAAGGAAACGACACCTCTCCTCCTTGATCTTGTAGTCGAGATTGTGGGCCAGCAATGCGGGTACGCCAATAAACATATCTGCCAGCTTGGTGAATGCCCCGATCAAGCCATGCACTGCATGCACAACCGAAAAGAAGTGCGAGAAGATACGCGACCGTGCAGTGACCACCACAAAGCGGGCCGCCAGGGCCAGATCACTCAGAAAGGAATCGTGGGCACGCAGTCGGCCCTTCAGCAGCAGCTGCGACAGACGCCACTTGTGCACCTGACCCGGAAAATGCAAGCTCGGCACATCGAATTCGCTGTAGGAATAGGCAGTACAGAGAGAAAGAGCATTAGTCAGTCACATGGTTAATGGTTGAAAGAGAAGAAGCTGAAGGCAACATAAAAACACACATAAATGAACACTATATTAAATGACAAATTGTTGGCATGCACAAGCGTGTACCAGATTCAGATTCAGAATTATGTTTGCCCGATTCCAAGGTTTGTAAAGAGTACATAGAATATGTGTGCGGGGTGGGGGGACAATCGAGTATAATAGTTTAAGACTCGCTCCATTAAGAGCTTTACAAAATTATAATCAGTAACTACTAGTATGGGGATTTCTTAGGAACCTCTCTCCAGGGTTTTCTTTTTTTGTTTGCATGCAGATAGATTTACTTTCGTTTCAATTTGTTTCAGCATGCACAATTTCCAGAGCATTTTTATAGTAGATTATGATTAAACAACAGAGAACAACATATTAATAAAACAACATTCAGTAAATGAAAATATGTACAAACGGAAGAACACCGACTGAAACAGACAGGCAGGACAGGCAGAAAGACATTTACGATTGAATTATGCCTTTGCCCAGCAGCAGTATGTAGTAGTAGTAGATTTTTGTTCGCTGGCTTTATTGTGTTTAGTGTTTGATTATTTACCCATTTTTACGTATTGTTTCCAATTGTTCCAAAGTTAATTTCTTCGGCTTTCCATATTTATCCTTTTGCAAGCTTTACAGAAATATTTCACATACAAATTGTTGTTGTCAACCGTTTTCATGTTTGATAAACAAAAGGATTCAATTCGATTCGAATCAGTTTCGTACATGCAGTAGGAGTAGTAGTAGTTGGAGAAGTTATAGGAAAGTAAACAATAAAATTAAACACAAAACAGATAACAGATAGCAGACAACCCGAATATCTCTGTATCGTCTTTTAGTTTTATTATTTTTGGTGGATTTGGAGGCATGCCTTAATTTGATTCATTTGCGTTTGCTTTTAGTGCAAAAGTGTCAAGGAATGATGTAGGCGAATGTTTCGAGGGAAATTAAGGAAATACACAATTGTAATCATTAAACGGTAAGGTGTTTGGGGGTGTGAGGAGATGTGACATAAGCGCTTAAGTTGACCAGCAATTGGCAAAACTGTTTTGCTGCACTTTTTTACTAGACGTGTCTTTGCATTTTGCTTCTTATTTAGCGCATAATGGTGTGTCTCCAACCAACATCCATCATCTATTCATCCATCAATCTATTCATCATGTGCAGCAGCAGGCTCTCGTCTGCGACTGACATCAAAACTCACCCAGTTTCCCGCAGCGTTTTCAATTGGGCGCTTGTGAGGCGGCGCGGCTCGCCGCTACCATCGGATGCCACTGCATCCAGTTCGTCGAAGGGAGGCGCTATAAATAGGTCACGCAGATTAATGGGACGCGCTTTGCGACTGCTGACACTGTTCGTCGCATTACTGGCCGTCAGATTCAGGCCACTGCTGGCCAATGCTTGAGGCAGAACTGCAATTAGACACGATTAGAAGGGATCAGGCACCAAATACGCTTGCCTTGCATCTTACCGATGGGAAAACTCTTCCAATGATAAAGGAACTGCTCGGCGACGCTCTTGATCTGCTGCACCAGCTGCTCCACCTCAGGCGGTGCGCCCACCAGATTGATGTTGAACTCGATGGGCTCACGCTCGGGCCCGGCCAGCGTTTGGGGGCGCAGCAGTTGGTTGCCGGCCGTGGCACTGGCAGCTGGAGCTGGAGCCAGGGCCGGGGCCGGGGCTGCAGCTGCCTGCAGGGACATGGGCATGCTTTTCTGACCGATCACCTCCGTTCACTCTAATATTTCGGCTTCCATAGCGTGATCCGAAAAGAGAATGCTGGAAAGAACGAGAATTTGTTTATTTGTGTGTTTAAAAGTTATGATTGCGGAACGTGAATACCCTTCGAGAAGGTATAGATCAAGACTAGTTCGCCCTGCCGCAGTAAGAGATTTTAATTTATAGAAGGGTATCACTGCATTCGGCCTGCGAGTGGCACTCTTAGTGGCAGGCCAAACTAATTGAAATCGCACAAACGCGCGCAATATGAAAATTAATGATCTAATTGAAAATACACTCGCGCAGCGCATGTGTAATGGTTGAGAATTGTACAAATTCCAGACAGATATAGAAACAGAGACCGAGTGCGAGTGCGAGAGGGCTCGGATAAGATGTAAACAAATGTGAATCGCGTTGAATTTTTTTAGCCTCAACTCAAAACGAATTTCCCATATCACAAATTAGCCTCTGCCACTTTGCCAGAAAGGCCAAACGGGTTTGACAAACTAGCTGGAAAGGTGGTGGAGTGGAGTCGAGTCGAGTGGAGTGTGGGGACAGACGTTTCGCACAACTCAAATTACACCTGCCACACGGAGGTAGCAGGCAGCACCTACCACAACTTACGACTTAATTTCGCGCTTCGTTTGTTTTAGTGAGACGAACTACACGGTTGGTCTGGGGGCCCTTAAATGCCTCGTTCCACGCCCTATAAGAGACACTAGTTAACCAACTCCCCAGCACTTCTTATTGTTTAATTGCCGCACCATCCAGTTGTTCTAAACTGATTGTTCTCAGCTTCGACTTTCAGAAATCTCCGTTTACCTTGTTTCATATATCAAATTGCTGTGGTTTTAGATAGTATATGCATTTTAATAACGAATAGAGAACGCAAAGCCAACGTTTTTCCGTTTTTTTTATTTTATTGAGCGAACAGACAAACAAATACACATTGTACAGCAGTGTGACCGTGACTGTGAAATTATCGGTAAAATATACCGTCAGGGCCTCGAAACTATACCGAAATATACCCTGCATTTTCAAAATATACTGTAAATATACCGTGAATTTAAAATATTTTCTTAGACTTTTATGTTATATTTGATATTCAGCATTTTAAATGTGTTTACTCAATTCCCCGCAGGATTGGGTGATTTTATGATTTATCTTTCCTGGATTGATTGCATAATAAGGTAAAAGCAGAAAAGGTCAACCGAAAATATAAAATATTTGGTATACTTAAAATTATAAATCCATTTGATCAGCTGCTGCAAATTTTTTAATAAATTCATTGAGATTGTGACTGTTTCGAAGGATACAGCTCCTCCATCATCAGCGATCTTTTCTCTTTCAACGTGGAAAAATATGGTAAGTCGGACATTCTACATTTCGGCAGGCATCGATAATTTATAAAAGGGATGGTATATTAGCATTTTGTGAATATCATCTAATCACAAAAGCCATCCTTTATTATGCGTTTTATTTTCTGGGCATATTTGCAATTCCTCTGGGAATTTAGTTCTCATTCCTTTATACATTTCATTTAATATTTATTTTTTAAATGCCGCTTTATGCCTAATTTTAATGATTTTATGGTATCCAATTTGTCATTGACAAATTTGAAGTTTGTTGTCGCAAACACTTTTACCAAATATTCTATGATTTCATGTCTTTTAAGAAGCGCAAGGATTAGTTCGCCAATAAATCTTCGCAATGTTTTCTTCAGGGCAGAAAATTCATCAATTTTATAAATTGGTTGTCTTCCGTTTTCCGTTTGATAAAAAATTAAACCATGTTGTGTGGGTAAAATATTGAAATGGGTTTCAAGGAACAAGGAATGGAACAAGGAATTTCATCTTTCCCGCGTCTCACTAATCAATGTCACTGGTTTTACCATGATTACAGCCTCCATTCGAGGGCAATCTGCAAAAGGAAAAATAGTTTAAAGACTAAGACTCTCAGCCGTGGAACTACAATTTTCTTACGATTGTGCAATACATTCGCCACAAGATTGACCTACGCTTTATGACATCTTTTATTGGATTGTTAACAAAAACAGCGATATAACTAAAAGGGTAAGAAAAAAAACTAATGAATAAACGCTACGTTTTTAGAATGTTTTGTGACGTTACTTGACATTTTGTTGCTGGCCACCCAGTAGTATGTTCCTTTGTTTTCCATTATTTTCCATTATTGCGGGCGAAAACTCTCCTCTTGGGGGTGTTTGGATACCCTATGTTATTGAATATACCCCTAAAATAGAATTTAATGGACGGATGAAATTCATTACATACCAATATACCGTAAATATACAATGAATAAATTTCGTGTCAAAATATGCTGAAAAATATATCATCTTTAAATGGTCACCCTAGTTAAGTGACCCGACGACTTTGTGCTATGTGTGTGAGAGAGTTTCGCCGCAGGCGCCAATGTGTGTGTGAGGCTACAGCGAATTGGTTGCGCGACTATGAATCCGATGAAAGACATTGTTTTTTTTTTTTGAGCCGTGTTTTAACTTTATTTAAGATCGTTCTCTTGCAGACAATTTTTAAATTTCCTCTTTGGGTACTTGGTAATCTTATTTCACTTATCACAAATAATATACGTTCACACTTACATATACAAGCACTATTCCTCGATTTTGATGTTCTATTTGATATTAATAGCTTGTTAGGCGTCTCAGAGCTAAAACTATTATTTTATCCGATTTATCAATAAATTCCCCACAAGATTGGATCGTTTTTACGACTTATATTTATTGGATTGATTGCAAAATATCCCGCCTGACCATCTGAAAAATATTTCTAGTAAAAAACGGATTTAACCCAATAAACACCCTACAAATCCTCAAAAAACTAATACTCAGATATCAGACTAATATATCAGAAATCAATTCCGCATAATGTTGTTAAGCTCGGGAATTAAAAGCTGAATATGATTATATTAATTAACGTATTTATGCTCCGCACAATATGTAAGTAGACAAATAATTTATATTAATTCAACTTAAGAAAAGGACTTGATATTTTGTAGGGTTGGTTGTATATGTAGATTCATAACGTTCGTTTTGCTGACCGCTGAACAGATGATTAAACTAGCGAATAAACTCCCAAATTTGGTATATAACTATGCCAATCAGCAGCACAACGATTAGCACCTGTCCTAGTTTGTGGCATCAAGAGCGTAAATCCGTGAGAGGTACATACATAACGCCCATAAGGCGCTTCATCTCTACTTTTCCATTTTTGTCCTTGTCATACTGGAAAAAAGGAACGTTAGTCGTTTAACTATATGTAACAAGAATCGAACCCACTTGCTGCATGTACTGCGAGCCGCCCTCGGGTCCAACTGGCACAATAAGGCGACCGCCGTTAGCCAGTTGATTGAGTAGTTCGGTGGGCGTATCGGGAGCAGCGGCGCCTACATGTATGGCGTTGTATGGCGCATTCTCTGGGTATCCTTTGCGTCCGTCGCCCTGCACAATTTTCAGAGTTTCAGAGTCGAGCATGCTACGATCATCGGCATTCAAATTAGTCTTGCTCATTTGCACCAACGCGGACTGGTGCTCGATGCCCACAATGCAGGTGTCGGCACTCTCCCCCATCGACTTGATGTACCGATAGAAGCAGGCGGTTAGGTAACCAGAACCAGAGCCCACGTCCAGCACATGAGCACCAGGCTTCAAATGATCGCGCAGATATTCCAATGCAAAGGCGTGCTATGCGAAGAGAGATGAGTGCAAGAACCCCTTAGTATATAATCCAATCCAACAGACACTTGTTACCATGTGCGGTGCGCTAATAGTGACTCCGCCTCCAATTGGTTGGGGCGCATCCATGTAGGGGTTGCGTGGGGAGTAATGCTTTCGATCCGTATCAATCATTGCCTTTGCCACTGCGTCGGATGCAATGACGCCGTACTCTGTGGATTTTGGATACCAATTATAATTCGTGCCTTTGAGGCATGCAAAAGGCCACTTACCTTTTAGTTGGCGTATAAGATCCTCATTGCTAGCACCAACGGAACGCCAGGCCATGCTGAAAGCTCGGACAAACAGTCCCAGTTTAATAATTTCAATCACAAATAACTTTACGCCCCGCAGCTTGTTTTTTTTTGTTCGAAATCATCAGCTGTATTTCAGAGTTGTCGATTTGCCTTAATTCTTTGAAAATTAACTGCGTGATAGCTATCGATAACATTTCAAATGGAGTATCAGCTGGATAGCAGAGTAACCAGCATAGCATGTTGGCAACAAATTATGTTCGTTTTATGCTATTTTTTTGGGTTGGCCTTTTTAGTTTGTTCCTTATTTTGTTAGCAATCCCATAAAAGGAAGTCATAAAAACTAGCCAATCTTGTGGAATATTTATTGATGAATTTGATAAAATTATAGTTTTAGCGCTGAGAGTTCCAACTAGTTGGTAATATCAAATAGAATAGAGAAGTCATGGAAAATTATTTAAGATTTACGGTATATTTTTAAAAGAGAAGATCTATTTTGGTATATTTCGTATTTTATCGATAGATCCCCGGAAAACACAGTGTGTCCTTGTGTATTGTTTTTGTGTGTTGAAATTACAATGTCAAACGTAGGCAAAATTCGACTTAAATCCTTTGAAGAGCTTCAAGCTTCAACCGACATAAACGTAAGCATAGCTAAATCAGTCAAAGTCGATGAGAAAACACCTGAGAAGAAAAAAGCGGGAAAAACTACTAGTGCTACAACCACGAGAAAAACCAAATCGGATGTGGAGAAACATAACGCTCTTATCGTAACCAATACTACTGTCAAACGTTCCTCGAAGAAAACGACCCTGCCTGGACAATTGCGCATCGATTCATTCTTCAAAAGTAGCTCGAAAAGCTTAAAAGTGGAGAACACAGCACAGACGTCGCAACGGAAGATTGCGCCAAAGGCGCACAAAGGACGCAAGCGCTTGTTTGACGAGAAGACTGCCACAACGTCCAGTGATATGTCGAAAATGAAGCCACAGGTCCAAAAGCGTGTCCAGCCGCCGCGCAAGTCAAAGGGCAAGGAGAATACAAGTATGACCGAGGCGAATATTGTTGATCTCTGCTCAGAGTCGGAGTCCTGCGAGTCTGACGACATGAAAAGCGTCAAGATGGAACCGCCACCAGAACCCAAAAGCCCCAAAGTTCCGCGGATAGAAAACGAGCCGTGTCCACCTTCGCCAATGGCTTCAAATCCCAGTGAATTATTTCTTGGAGATGTATCCATTAAAGAAAATCTGCTCAGTCAGTCCTCGTCAGCCGCCACAAAAAGTACTTCAGTAGAAGGGAATGCTTCTCCAGTTGAAGCAACAAATGTAATTACCAATGAAAAGGATGCCCTAGCATCCGGTACGCCACCGCCAATGCCCAATGAAATCGTTTCCAAAGCTAAATCGCCAGACACTGCAAATGCTTCGTCTGAGAAAAGTGTCTCCACAGGACGTGGGAAGAGGGCGCCCAAACCTTGTCCGCCCTATAAAGTTGTTGAGGGCACACACTTTTGTGTCGATGGCTTCCAGTTTGGCGCCATACCCGGAGTGACAAATTATTTCCTAAGCCACTACCATGCAGATCATTATATTGGTCTGACCAAGACGTTTACATTTCCACTCTTCATGAGCCCCACAACGGCGCGCCTGGTGCGTGCCTTCATAAAAATAGACGATATGTACATCCATGAGATTGATGTGGATCAGACAATCGTGGTGGAAAACATCGAGATCACCGGTATAGAGGCAAATCAGTAAGTAAAATAAAACTTCCTAATATTATTGAGTTAATGTTCCCTCTTTCCAGTTGTCCGGGCGCTCTTATGTTCTTTTTTAGGCTGCCCTCTGGGCAGTGCATTCTTCATACGGGCGATTTTCGTGCCAGCTTTGAAATGGAATCTCTACCGATATTTTGGAACAACATCGACATTGATCTGCTCTATTTGGACACGACATATCTATCTGAAAGCTACGATTTTTGCCACCAGACCGAAAGTGTCAGTCGTTTGTTGCATTTAGTGCAGAACTTTCATGAAAGAAACCCAGGAAAACGCATACTTTATGTTTGCGGTGCCTATGTGATAGGAAAGGAAAAAATCTGGCTGGCTTTGGCCAAAAAATTCTGTTTGAAAGTCTGGACGGAAGCGCATCGTCGCGTTGCCATAGATTGCCTGGAGTGGCCGGAACTGCAAACGCGCATGACTGCCGATCCATACCAAGCCAATTTGCATGTCATAGCCATGGGAAAAGTTGGATACTTGGTAAGACAGACTCATTATCGTTTGGTTTTTCGTCCTTAAATTTTGTGTGTTTGCATTTGCAGCATTTGTCAGAGTACTTCACACTATTCGAAGATCAATACGACATGCTGCTGGCCATTCGTCCCAGTGGCTGGGAGAAGAAGAGCAAGCCCTCCTATGGGAAGCGCATCAGCACCATTGGCATCGAGTACTCGGAACATTCCAGCTACAAGGAGCTAGAGCGCTTTGTGCGTTTCCTCAAGCCCAAGCGGGTTATCAGCACGGTTCCGGTGGGCGGTGATCTCTTCGTAACTGGAAAGGTGCCACCCAAATGGCATAATTTCAAAGGACGTCTGTCTATGATGCCTAGAAGATATCAACCATCAATAACGACGTTTATGGCCACACCCAAACGTATTGTTCCGCCATTCAAAGGATCAGGAACCGAAATGGCATTGAGCCCAGTGGATGAAAAGGATTCTGATGAGGGGAAAGGTGTCGTACCTGATCATGTAACCATTTCATCTAGCACCTCGGAAGAAGTCGGAGGTAAACCGACAGAAGAAGCACAAGATGAAGCCAGCAAAGACGTTGCTGACAAAATCAAAAGTCCGGTCAAGTCGAAGCCCAGTGAGGGTAATTCATCCATACTCTTAAGAGTCACCTCAGATGCATCCGATGATTGGCTCCGATGACTCCTCAGAATATTCTTAAATTTTTTCTGTAATTAATAACTTGCTTGTTCTGTTCTCAGGAAAGTTTTTTCTATTCAGGGGAGTGATCTTTATAGAGTACACTTTTTATATATTTGCAACTTGCTATTATATATGTATATATTCCACTAAATCCATCTTAATATTCAAATAGTTCCATATGTGTGTGCAGGCTGCAACCTTCCCTGCAACTACTCCCCGTACATTCTATAATAAATTAAATTATAGTTTATATATGTATTAAGAAATAACTAAAGATAGCGTATAAGTATAAGTATAAATGTGAATAACAATCAATCTAAATCAACATAGAGGCCACTTGGGTAGGCTACAATAATTCAGTGCTAAAGAATACTCATGAGTTTTGATTACTTTTCCACTGATATGTTTGATGTTAGTATAGTATATAAATTATATGCTAAATCGCTGAAGCGTTTAGGGTTTTGTTTTTTTTTTTTGGAATGGCCTTCATTTAGAATTCTTTTCTTGCTTTCATTTTTACGCCACAATAGAAGATAAGACAGATAAAATAACGAGAATAACAAGGAATATGAGATGTAAATAAACTTTTCTCGAATGACTAAACTAAACACTTTTGACGATAAACTAGACAACAACGACGAAGCGCATAGACACATTGACGAGGCAACAGACTCGGGGGGGGGGCCCCTGATTTGGTTGTTTTTGGTGGGTGCGGGTGCGGGTTTAATCCAATGGCCAATTAACTGCAAGGAAGAACAAACGAAATTAGCTCATAGAAAGGTTACTTGCACCCATCAGCTTAACTTACCACCAGGAGAAGAAGGGACTCTTGTTCTGGAAGCGCTGCGTAAACGAAAAGAAACGACTGCCGCTGGACCTGTACGAACGAAACTCATGCATCAACTGGAATCGTTAAAACAATTGTAAGACACTCACCGCTCCACGATTACGGCTGGCATCTGGACCAGCTGCACGGGTGATTTGCCATCCCTCAGTGCCTGCGTGAGGTTCAATATTTGGCCACGCATCACAGACATCTGACGCTCGAACAGACGCTTATCGAATCCCCGATCCTGCTGGAACAGATACAACAGCTCTGTGCAGATTTCCTCCACGAAATTCATGTCCGACAACTGGGGCAGAACCTGTTCTTTGATCTCCTCGCTGAAGGGGATCTTGGCCTGCGGCAGCCAGGCCCAGTGGTAGGGATAGGCGCGCCAAGAGTCGGGATGCTTGAAGGGGAAGGCCAGGCCATTGTCAATGGCCGCAATTTTTATATATGCCGTGTCCACCATATTCCAGTTGTTCTCCGATGAGGGAGATATGTTCTTGGTACTTGTGGTGGGCTGCTCCTCCTCGCTGCTGGTCAAACTGTTGACGTCTTGCTGTCCGTTTACTTTGGGTGCTTGATTTCCACCAGCCGGTCGCTGCAGATCTTCGGGTGGCGATCCATTTATATCGACAATTTGCTGACCCACTAATGCGGGCATCTTTGGCAGTACAACGCCCATCATCTTGCCACCAGTGCCGCCTATCTGGCCTCTAATCCTGGGTGCCTCGTACTTGATCAACCAATTGTCGTTGCCGCGATCCGTGTTGCGTATGATGTAGTCCAGGACGACAAGTCGCTCAAACTCCAACTGAAACGATTTGGCCACGCCCGGCGCTATTCGTTCACTCTCGAAGCGTCGCAACCAATAGTCCGCATCCTTGTATCCCTCCACAAACAGTTGAAAGGAACCCGTCTGCAAGGGGGGGCAAACATGAGCAAAAAGTTACTGTGGGTCAGGACAAGATTCTCACCTTCAGGGGCAGACTCATGCGATTGAAATGGGCCGATGGATAGTGCTCCTTGATTCGCTTCTTCAGCCTGGCCTTCTGTCGATCGAGGCGGGCATAGTTAAAGCTCTCGGCCACCAGACGCACCACACGCGTCTTGGGCACCACATTTAGATTGAGTTTGCGATCCACCAGGCTAGCTCCAGCCTCCGATAGATATCTACGCAAAGAGTTTACAAAAAGTTAGTCAAAAAGTCAAGCGGAATATGTGGTGATGTTACCCTTGATTTGGTATCAGGCAGGCACGTCCAAAGCAGCAGGGACAGCAGAGCTTGTGCATCCATTTGGTCCATTTTGGATTCAGTCGGCCATAGGGTTCCTCATCCTTTGGCTTGAACACAGCCAGGCATTGCTGCAAATGCATAATTAATAAATCTGTTTGTCCATAAGGAACCTCTGAGGTAGAGCAACTGTGTCTGGGTCAAACCAAAAGTTCTGCAAAATAACTCAATTACGAGAACTTCCCCGTTTGCCAGAATCTTTCATTTATGCGTTAATTATTCATTCTGTGGGTTACAGGGCCAACAAACTTTTACGCCCTGAGCCCATTGCGAAACGCAAGTAAAACTTTAATTCCACTTACGTGTGAGGGATCCTTGACGAAGTAGGAACCACTGCTTCCCTGATAAATGCGCTCTGGCAGCACACCATTCTCAATGGCCACCTCGGCCTGTGCCACAATCTCCGAGAAAAGCGGATCATCTGTAAGTTTAAATGGAAATTATATAATTGTTAAATATTCCAATGGATTAAGGACTAAAATTACTAATAAAATTTGTGCGAAGCACAAAAATTCGCATTACGCAGCAGAAAGCAGACTGCGGTGTTCTCAGGTTAGTTTAATAAATAATTAAATAATCAAGTTTAATGAGGGTTTTATTCTTCGTGGGCTTTGCGTGCCAGCTGTCGTTTAAAAATAGCTAAAAAATAGCCCAGACCCGACACAGCACGGCGGTGGATTCCTTGAAACTTGGAGAAAAGAAGAACGACTGAGACCCGACGACAAAGAAGCAACAATTATAAAAGAGAAATCAACCAACTAGAATCCTATAAAGTACCGATAAAGTCAAAGTTTTCGTTGAATTCCCCCTGCTCATCATCCTGGCAAATGCTAAACACTTCCTGCACACAATTCTGGCCACTGCCACGGCAGCTCGACAAACGCGACATTTGATCGCCACAATGAAAAGTAAAGTGGAAGACGCGAAAGAGTCGAGAGATAAATGGACACAAAACAGGTCGCAATTAGCATGGCGAAAGCATTTCGATAAGGCACGCTCGCTCGGGTTGGGTTGGTTGGCCCACTTACACATGTTCTTCAGCGGACAATTGGCGCACTGGCAGCGGGGGCGTACTATGCGAACGGTGACTGTGTCTTGGGAGCCGTCTAACATTGATGGGGCGGTCACTATGAATGGCGGCTCCCCCTCTGCATCCGAGGGCGACTCAAGAAAGTTCTTCTCTGGCGCCTGGCACTTCTTCACCTCACAGCACATGCAGACGTAATCAACGGATTTGGAGTCCACCGATGAACGCGCACTGTCGGATGCGGCCAGAGCCGCCTTGCTCGTCGTCGGCTGCTCGGTTTCGGGGGGTTCCTTCTGATCATCGTTGTTCATTTTTTGTCATTCCCTATGTCCAGTCGGGTAGTTCAGTAATCATTAGATCAAGTTCCATTTTCGTATACGCCTGCTTATATATTTTTTTTGAGTCACACTCCTCCCACACGGCTCAGGTTACAGATTGTGTGGCAACAGAGAGACTCACAGTGATTGCAAGACTAAGAATTTGTTGTGACACAAAAACAAGAAAAATAAAATGTACATTTGTTGATCAAAACTTATTAAAGACGAGTCAATTGGTGTGTTTAGCCAAACCCTACGTTCCATTCTACAGCCCTGGGACACTGAACAAATGCCAGTAAAAACTTATCTCTCAATGCTTTATGACTTTCCGGGAGTGGGTAAAGCTGCTCCTAAACGAATTCGGAATACTCTCATGACAATAAAAGAGGATTGGAATAAATTAATGATAAAAGCAAGTTATCTGCTTAAGCCTCAAGCTTGTATTTCCAAATTGTATTTCCCATTCACAAATCTGTAGAGTCCTACTACAGCACAATTCTAGACCTGCTGGAGAGGGTATTCACATTAAAAATGATAAGAGAGTATGATTAAGCCTCGGCTTAGCTAACGCAAATAAAAAAGAATGAAATAGTGTCACCCAATGCATACATGTAAATATGCACTCAAACATAAAGAAAAGAGAGTCGGAGAGAGAGAGAGATACCAACCAGTTGGAAGCCCCACAGTTGGATGGGTTGGGATGGCCACTTGTATGACTTCTTCACTTGTGATTCTGCACTTACCACCAAATGTATTCGATATAAAGTCCACATGATCGTGTCCACGGCCTAGTCCTCCAAGCAGATCACTAATGCGACTTCCGTGACTGGCACTGCCGCCTCCGAGGAGTGGCTGTGATTCCCGATTATCGCTGCCCGCGTCCGTGGACATGCCCTCAAAGTCGATTTCTGGCACCAGGCAAATATCGTCGGCCTCGTCGTGCGGGTGGTGACGTCCAATGCCAACGTGCGTTGTCGATTTGAGAGGAGAGGATGGTGCTGATGCTGATGCTGTCGCCTTTGTTGTTGCAATGTGACTAATCACCTGTGGCTGTGGCGTGGCACTAGAGCTACGACTCTCGCTGCTCTCCTCAGAGTGATTTTTGAATTTTGCTCTACCGTTGACAATGCCATTGCGCAGGGCGGCACTCGCAACGTTGCCCGACGGGTTTCGGTTGAGTAGAACTTCCACTTCGTCGTCGTCGTCGCCGTCTGTGTTGATGCCGTCGCTTAAGATAAGCAACTGATCCAGCTGCGATTTCTGATGTACATCCACCGCCGCATCCCCACCGGCTTTCACAGTCCTATCTTGACTGTCATTCTCATTCTCATCGTTGTCGACATCGTCGTCGTCTACCGACAGAAGCATTGGCTCACGTTCCTTCTTCACCTTCTTCTTGGGTTTTCGCTTCCCAACTCCAATTGTATTAATCTGCGGAAAAGCAAGCGATAAATATATGCAGGGGCAGGGGGCTGGCTTCAGTCTTCACTCACCTCGACTTTTGTGGTCAACTGAGCGACATTGCTGGTGCTGGTGTCGAAACCGTTGAGGAGTGGCGCTACGGATTGGTCCTTGACAAAGTCTCCGATGAGATCCAGCTCATCCTCGAGCTGCAGCAGTGGCGGATCCGCCTTATCCAGCGCATTGCTCATGGTTGAGAGTGTGGGAGCTTCGAGGCACGTGTGTGTGGGGGTGGCTGGGTGGCGAAGAGAATTACAAATACAATTTTCGTGGCAGACACAACAACAAAGGGCCCGCGCTGTTGTTGTTGCTGCTGCTGCTTCTTCTCGGTTCTGTCTGTCAGTTTTCGGGCGTACGCTTTGTTATCTCCTCCGCTTCGTATGCATGTTCTTGAACAATATGCTTCTATTATTCAAGCTGAAATTTGATTATTTCATCATTTTTTAATTGTTGTTCTAATATTTATAGTTGTTTTTTGTGGCAATTATCGATTTTTAGTCGATTTCAAGTGCCCTTTTTCCAAAATGTTCTGATCATTTTGATAATAGTTTCGATTTGGCACTGTCATCCCAAGTCGAAAAGTTTACTCACCATGTACTGTTCGTGAAAAAACAGCAACGCAACTTAATTACGCGTTTGAATTGAATTTTTGCTAGAACACGAAAGCGAAAAACAGCTGGATTTTAAGCTCTGGCTGCCTTGGAGTGTGACCGTGCAGCGGCAGGCCGAAAACCCCACCAATGGTGTGAAAACGCGTCCATTAAAAGGTAGGCAAACACTGGCGGGCGTCTAGAAGATAAAACTACAACAAACTGAATTCCATTTATGTGCCATATGTCACAGCCTCGACCAGAGGATAATCGGCCCAAACAGGTCTTCCTGAGCCAGATAAGCCACTGCTACACCTTCGCCAACTGCTGGCAAATCCCTTATCGGAGGAGCCAAAATTCGCCTCCAAACCCACAAAGCCCTCTGCCGAAATGTCCAAGTTTACCACGAGCTGCTCGCTGGCAATACCCTTTGCCTGTGGCCTGTGTCCCATTCGCTTTACGGCGTTGAATGTGCTCAATAATCATCGTGTGGTCCTATGTGTGCCGAAAAACTTTACATCAGCGTACGCGTTAACTTTATTCTTAATACTACAATTGTTTGCATACTCAATGGGTACATCTACTGCTTCAGCATACTCTGTCGTAGCTGCGAGATCCAGGACAAAACATCTGTCAGCTGCCGCTGCAGATTAGTGCTCTCTGCAACGAGCTCAATACAATCCCGGAATTTGGTCACTGCGTGGCGTAAACTCATGGGCGGCAGAACCCTACAAGAAAAACACATACATTTCATGTAATTATGTATGCATTCATGAAAATTGTCTACCATCAATCATTCCACTTACGAGAACCAGTGCAGGGGCTCCACGTAACCATTGGCCTTATCCACCGCATGCCTCTCGATGTTGACCTCATTCTCGTCTTTGGCTTTTATGACCCGGCAAAGGGCATTGAATTCGGCACTGTTCTCCGTTGGGATCTGCGCCTTGGATACGGAATTACAGCCCCCAGCCTGGAACCTCGTTCTGGCCAAGAGTATGGCTCCGCTGGCGTTGGCTCTCTCCAGATTCACTCGACACTGGGTGTGCTCTTCGATTAAGTGGAACATATCCAGGTACATGGCATCCAGCAGCTGGCCAGCAGCCTCTTTGTCTACCTTGTCAGCCACCATAATATAACTTGATTTTAATTATTTTAATGTAAAAATGCAGAAAAAACAATTGCAGTCATATGATCACAAGTATGGTAAGTTATCGATAGTCGATTAGAAAAATACCAAAACAAACAAATGCTCACAACATTTCTTTCTCGCTCTCACCCCAACAGCTGACAGCGGAAAATAATCGATAATCGATAGCATATATTGGTGACGCGGTATTCTCGGTATAAACAAATTAATTCACATACGCTTAAATACACTTAATATAATGTAATATAGGCCGGGCGGGAGAAAAGCAAATTATAGGAACCCCCGAGCTAGACTGGAAAGAAAGTACCATAGAAAACCGCTACCATAGAAAACTGCTGTTGTCAAGGTATATCAAAGAGAAGGGATGCCGAGTTGTCCTCCTCTATTTGGGAAAGGGTTATTTAATAACGTTTCTGACAGGGTCTAAATGAGCAACCTAGGCTTTTACAGCCATACCCTCTGTTTATTGTGCACTCGTTGGAGCGGTGAGCGATGTTGGCCAAAAGAGCAACCGAGAGAGGGATAATGTTTATTTTACGATGCTGTTGCCAGATTAGTGAAAGTTTATAAAAACGCTGGTAATTAGCATTCAGCCGCCAGTTGGAAGAACCCCTTAAAGCCCCAAAGTTCGGGACAGCAGCAACAAGTGTATGCCAAACGGTTACACCACCATTTTGACCGTGCAAACAGTTTCAAAGTTAAACCAGAGAACTGCCGATTATGGCATATAGCCTGACCGCAAACTTGCGAAGTCGCAAACGCGAAAAGTCAATCAAAGGCAGCGACGATATCGGAAGTGGGACTGCGCGGATTATGGACAAGGTGCGCCAGCGATCCAGCCAGCAAAAAAAAACTATTTTTGATTAAAGTGTTTACATGGGGGGCCAAACATCTCTCTATGCGACGATACTTGTACGAATACGTAAGCGCGGTGGATGACAAATATTGGTGAAAAGCGTGGCCGTTGACGGACATGTGTTTATCTTATCGCAAACATTGAAAATATTCACACTTATGTGACGACAATAATATATGATGAATTTAGTCAAGCCGCCAAGGGAAATACTCTTTTGGGATTACTATGAACACAATTTTGGTTTATTGTATGATAAGAACGTCTATCTAATGTATGTCCGGCTATCAGACGGACCCATTCCAAAAAGCAACTTCTTATGATTCAGCGCTTTCTTTATCTGTTTAATTATTCAGGAAACAAGCGAGGCGAGCATTATTAACCCTCACATTGACAATACCCAGCAGACCATAATGACATCTGGGAAGGAAGGTCAGGACTTGATGTCCAGTCGACGCACAGTTAGCGAAAGCTCCTCCGAAGAGCCTGAACGTGTAGGAATCAACGCATCAAACGGAAACAGCAACGGAATGTGGCGCAATGAGCTAAAGATTGGCGCCGAAAGTTCATCCGCACAGCCAGAGAAGCAGCAGCAGGTGCAACACTCCAGATTTCGACACCGGAATGAGAGATTTAGCGATATGGTTGATATAGTTCTTCGCTTTGCCTTCGTCGCTATCTTTTTGTGAGTTTTTATTGTTAATATGATTGGGATTAGTATTAGATAAGAAATGTGATTGATATGATTAATCATTTGCAGCAAACTGGAGACAATGTCGGCCTTCAAGCGGGAAATACACGCCGAGGAGCTGTGGCTGTACAAGAATCCCAGGCGTCCGGACATCGTCAAGGGCGGGGAGCTGCTATTCTGGGTGATTGTGGCTCCGCTAATTGTGACCGTTGTCTTCTATGTGTTTACCAAGGACAAGCGAGACTTTCGTGCCGCCAGTTGGGCCTGGACCCTGGCCCTATGCATGAACGGCCTTCCCACGAGTATGCTGAAAATCACAGTCGGCCGACCCAGGCCAGACTTTTTCTATCGCTGTTTTCCCGACGGCTTAATGGTGTTGAACTCTTCGATCATCTCGGATAGTAGTTCCATTTTGGATTTCAATTGTACTGGAATTACGAGTGACATAAACGAGGGTCGCAAGAGCTTTCCCAGCGGACACTCGTCCTGTAAGTTTTAGCCCTACTTTTGGTCTTGAACTTTTAACTAATTCCCGCCCTTTCTGACTTGTTTCAGTTGCCTTTGCCAGCTTTGGATTGATTGCCTACTATGTGGGCGCGAAGCTGCATGCTTTTGATGCCCGAGGACGCGGCCACACCTGGCGTCTGTGCATTGCTGTGATTCCGCTGATCATCGCCACTCTGGTGGCGGTAAGTCGCACCTGCGACTACCATCACCACTGGCAGGATGTGACTGTGGGTGCCATCATTGGTCTCCTTACAGGCTATATCAGCTATAGACAATATTATCCATCCATTTTTGGGCCCCAGGCAGGCACCCCGTCGATCCGTTGGCCCAGGACACAGGGAAATAAATATAATAAGCACAGGGCCGCAGATGATATTGGGGCTGGCGGAGATATGCTACGAAGGCCGCTGCTCGGTGGCAAAGAACAGACCAAATGGTACTAAAACTACTTCTTTCAATTGCAAAGCTTTACGTATTATGTAGTTCAATTATTGCTCTTCCCCTAAGCTCTTTTTAAATTATATCGAACCACTGTCATTGAAGCTGTATTCCCATAAGCCTGTAATTATTGTACACATTATTGTTAATCCCGGAATGGAGAGGGAGGGGTTTGTTTACCTCTAAATGGGTAGGTGTAGTCATATTTAAATAAATAAAACAGACAAGTCACGTCATTTACTAAAAGTAATTTTTAATGCTCATTCTCTGCAGCAAAACATCCAAACAATTGATTCAAATTTGCTACATCAAAGTGACCGAAACTAGCCTAAAGGTCTATTGACAGACAGACACTTCCTCTGGCTCTCAATTCATCGAATTGAAGGCCTGCAAGAGCACCTGCTTTTCGCGCTCCTTCTTCTTGACCACGTCCAGGCTGCGCTGCCGCCAGGTGCTCTTCCGTAGCTTGATCGGGCGACTGCCGACATAGCGTCCATCCATTTCCTTCATGGCACGTATGAAATCCGCGGGTTCACGAAAGCTGACAAAGCCGAATCCTTTGCTCTTGCCGGTGCGCTTGTCACGAATCACGCGCGCCCTCTGGAACGACGGAAACTTGTTGAAGGTACGCGTGAGGACCTCGTCGTTTACATCGTTGCCCAGATCTCCGCAGAATATGCGGAAATCATCGTCGGGCCAGTCGGCCAACGAGGAGTCCTCCCAGACAGTGCCACCGGCAATCCGCACAGTCTTGCGATCTTTTTTCTTGCGCTCTGTGGTCTGGAAAGATTGCAAGGCGGACGAGGCGCGAGCTGCTTTGATGGCTTCCTCTGCTATTGGATTGGGCCCGGACTTTTCCGCCTTCAGCTTTTTTAACTTCTGCGTGACGTCGAATTGCACGGCGTTGATGTCGATGGACGACGGTGCCGCAGCCACAGTCGGCACATGCACTGACTGCCGACACTGGTACAATTTTGGGGCGCTGCTCAGCACCACGGGTGTGGCTGCCATGGATTTGACGGGCGATGTTGATGAAGAATTGTTGCCTGTCGGCACAAAGGTCGACATAAACGATGGGGGTGGTGGAATTGGCGGTGGCGGTACTGACAATCGCGCCCCAGGATGCTGCTGCAGCTTCTGCTGTACATTGTTGTATGTATTCGCGGCGATGATCGGTCGAACTTGGTTGGGCACAAAGAGATTCCGCGCGGGTGGCTTGGAGATTTCAGCCTCGAAGCGAGACAGCTCGTCCTCGATATTGCGACGCTTCGTACCCATTTACTTATTTCAGAACGCTTTAAAACTTTCAAAATCAAATAAATTTTCACAGAAAATGCTGTTTTTCAACAGCTGATGCCGAATTATCGATACAATTATCGATACCGTCAGACTCTCGGAGATATACCGAAATATACCCTTTCATTTGAAAAATATATCGCAAATATACCATAATGATAATAATATATATGATTGGATTGATTGCAAAATAAGGTTAAAACTAAGCAGGTCAAACAAAAAAGTAGAATTAAAGTAGCACTTGTGTACCCTATTTCCAATAATTAATATTACAACTCCGATTTCCAAGCTGCTTTAAACATTAGTAGTGACTTTTTGTTAGACTGACATACCTTAAACATTTCTAAAATGTTTTCTATATATATTAATCGATCAAGGTAGACCAATACTACAAAAGTTTAATAACATTTGAGCAATTCATGGGAAAAATAATGTGAGTGGGCTAAGTGGGTTAAGGCCTTGTTTCCCTTGATATATTTCGGAGCATTAAGCAGTATATTTTATCGATAAATCCGCGGTCACACTGGCTGAATCGTAGTTTCTGTGGAAATAATACATAATAATTGAATTAAATATCATTAAAAAAGCTACAAGCTGTGATAGCAACAAGTATATTGAGCTAACATCAGTACAGAAATCATTCGCCCACTAGGCAGCCCCCACTCGCGCCCGCAGAGAGTCACCCACACACAGAAAGTCGAAAGGGGCGACAACAATAGGAAAAAAGTGACAAAAAATCCCCTAAACTAAACCAACAAGTCTAAACATAATTGCGTGTAAAACATACGCATAATATGCCACCAAAAGAACGCAATATAGCCATAATGGGCTACCGTTCCGTGGGTGAGTGTTTGATTGAACTCCAGTGGCCCTCCAGCGATGCGATGACTGTTGTTGCTGTTTGGCTCTGTAATTGCGTAGTATTTCAGACGAACAGCACAACACAGCAATAGCAACAACTCTGACGAAGCGACGAAAAATTCTCAGTAATAATTTACGTTTTACCTGCAGGCAAATCATCGCTCAGCATACAGTTTGTTGAAGGCCAATTCGTGGACTCGTATGACCCAACAATTGAGAATAGTAAGTGCGTGCGCAGACAGCAGCTGTTTCCCCTTACAGGAGCAGCAGGATGAGATGCATCATCATCATGTGATGGCAGCATGCATCATTGCGATTGACAGACTATCAAATTGTAACACGTAATTTTTCTTAAATTGCATTTAGCATTCACCAAGGAGACCAAGGTCAACTCGCAGGAGTATGATATGAAGCTGATCGATACTGCTGGCCAGGACGAATACAGCATATTCCCTGTGCAATACAGCATGGATTTCCATGGCTATGTCCTGGTCTATTCAATAACGAGTCAAAAGTCCTTTGAGGTTATCAAAATTATATACGAAAAACTTTTAGATGTGATGGGCAAGAAATAGTACGCAAACTTGTAATCTCCAATAGCAATTCTTTAATAACTATTATATTTTTTCCAGTGTACCTGTAGTGTTAGTAGGCAATAAAACCGATTTGCATCAAGAGCGAACTGTAACCACAGAGGAGGGCAAGAAACTGGCTGAATCCTGGCGAGCAGCATTTCTTGAAACATCCGCCAAACAAAATGAGGCAAGTAACCCTTTGGCTATTCAGATTATTGCGCGATTTTCATATAACTCCTTTTGCAGTCTGTTGGAGATATATTTCATCAGCTACTGATTCTAATTGAGAACGAGAATGGTAATCCCCAGGAGAAGAGTAGCTGCATTATTTCATAAGAGAGATAGACCCTGGCAAGCGGATATCTATGGTCAAAACTGTTGAAACCGTGATGGCAATACGAAAATCGATTATATCTTATCTAAACAGTTCGGCCAGCAGGCGTGCTTGCATGGGCGTGGGCCAGCGGCCGTGTCCCAGGTGCGCAGGAAGAAAACATCTACAAAAACTAATAGCTTTAAGTCAACACAGCAAAGTAACCAACATCAATCAATTTAGGAGCGACCACAAATGCTGCCCAGCAGGTTTTTTTGTGGCTGTCGCCTAGAGCCACACACAACAGGTTTAAGTTAGCTCACCTTTTTTCACAACAACAATTCAGTTACAAACTTTATAAACAGATTAAGAGTCAAACGATTATTTTATATATTTTACTGTTTTTAGTTTCAATTTAAATATAATTTTGTCCAAGTAATATGATCGATTTTTAAATTTTGGAATTGAGAGTAAAGGCTAGACCATGGATGTTCCTAAGGAGTATAAAGAAATTGAATTTTTCCAATATTTGGGGGGTTCCAGTCTGTTGGATACCGTTTGGTTTTAGTTTCATTATTAATCTCGAAAGGATCCCAATCTCCCTCGAAATTACAGCAAAACGCATTTTACAATATTTAATAATTTAAAACGATTTTTAAAAGTATACATATTTTAAATTCAAATAACGCGCACAACTTTCCATCATAGCATTCCATCAGCCCTCGTAATAACTCTGAACAGCACATTTATTTACATTATCGCTAATCGTGGTAGTGACCACGACTTGAGGTCCCAATATTTTCAATAATTCCCATGTGGTGGTTTTATTTTTCGGTTTAAGAAATATAGTTCATCGTCAAGAAATTCTGTATTGAAGTCACTGTAACAATTGGGCAATTTAAATGCTATTTTATTTGGTTGACCCTTTAGCGCTTTACCTCTAGTTTGCAATAAATCCAATAAATATAAGTCAGAAAACCAGCCAATTTTGTGGAAAATTGATTGATGAATTATATAAAATTAGAGTTTTAGTGCTGAAAGCTCTAACTAGCTAGTAATATTGAATAGAATATCAATATCGAGGACAATTTTATAGGATTCGCCAAGTTTGTTAGTGTGAACGTATATTGTTAGGATATTTCTGGGGAATTTTTGTGCTCATATTCTAGACACAGGAGAGAATTTCCCTAAGCGCGCGCAGCTACCTATATTTTGAATTGAAGACTTGCTAAGCTTTTTTAGTACACGAATATGTAAAACTATCGGTTGTTTTGCAGCTCTGTAGAGACAGATGAAAGAGAGAGGAGCTCTTTCAACACAAAATAGTGCAATTATAAAGGAAAATAATGTTTTAAAGTGAACAATATGCATCCTCTCTGGGTACACTGTTTCGTGTTTGTTTACAAAATGAAATCCGTTAAAAATTTAAACTTTGCATGAAAGCAGGAGGAGTTTTTTATTTCAGAGTGGGTAATTCAGGGATGATTTCTTATCATTCCTGATTCTGTCTCGAGAAAATTTTGTGGACATGAGTACTGAGCTCTAACCTAATTTAGCAATCAATCCAATAAAAATAACTCATGAAAACCAGCCAAACTTGTGGAAAATTTACAATTCTAACTAGCTAGAACTATTAAATAAAATAGCAAAATCTGGGAATTGTTTAAAACTTACGGTATTTTTGCGGTATATATCCTGAAATTGAGAAGGTATATTTCGGGAAATTACTGATGTCCCAGCGGTATTTTTTATCAATAAGTTCGAGGTCACACTGCCCACAGATCGCCGCGCCAATCCGATTTATAAATTTTTGATTTTCCAATAGAGCAGTTGTTGTGCGCACGTTAAATAAGTTTAAATTAAGTCGTTCATCTAAGAAAATCGAGTGATATTGTGCCCATTTTACGGTAATTCCCAAAACAAGACAAATTTGATTTAATTTGAAGGGAAAGAGCAGACAATTTTCTCGTCTATTTTCTGTCTTGCATTTGTTTTTCCGACACTGCGTATGTGTGATGTGTTTGTGTGTGTGTGTTTGTTCGTGTGTGTATACTTATGCGCAATGCGTGGGTATTTTTTCGAATTTCTGTTCTATTTTCAAATTTAATGGCATACATACAGCCATAAATAGCCGAAATTTGTACTACCAATATTTGTAACCGTTGGACGGAATTTTCACCAAACATTTTAGAAAGTACAACAAATACATGTGTGTCTCCCAAGCTAAATACAATTAAATCGCATGACTACATTTCTCAAGCCGAAAATGTACAGACAGGTGTACGTAATTCACATCCATACATATGTACTCGTGTTTGTATAAATGTATTTATCAATCCGCTAATCAAGTGCATTGAACACATCTCCCGATGCGATACGATTGTCGCCCCCCCATCTGTCTGGTCTGGTTTGCCCTCTCTGCCGATGGGTGGGTACTCCAGATACAGGTACAGGTCTTGTCGCCGCTTTTAAAATGCCTTTTAGGCATTGTTGGTATTGGCAGGCCTTACTTTTCTTGTCTTTTATCGATTTAATAACAAACAGAAAGCCGCCCAGAGATATACGCGATGTCGGGGAGCATAAATACACGTTAGATGACGGCTGGTACAAAATAAATGGTCATTGATTGGGCATGGGCTGTGAGGGAATCCTGCGAATGGTTAACTAGCTTTGCTGAATTTAAAAAAACCGGCCTTTTGTACTAGACGAAAATTGGAGGTGCCATAGGCACATACATATGTACATACTTATGGGTGGTAAATATGTATGTATGCATGTATGTACATATATTAAAACCTTTTCAGGGAGTAGTATTTATGGCCCTGCTCCATCCGTTTGGACAGATAGATAGGCATATGTACCTAGTTGCTTACCAAATAAAATCAATCTAAACGTAATCTGGCATCGTAATGAAAGCCCCACGAGGGTATCTAAGGGCTGTACTCGTTCTCTTCTGGATTTTCATGTATTTGGTACAAAAATTTACAAATTAAAGAGCCAAAGTGCACTAGCGACCTACAAATTCCGGCACAGACCGCGGCTGTGCACATTTTCCCCTACATTAATACGGCTGCATTAATTACATTATGTACTTGGTGCACTTGTTAGCTATGTGACAAATAATCTAGTTCATTGCATTCACATGTTTACATACAAATTTACATGTGTATGTATTTGCATTGTCTCTACACAGTGAAGCTCTGTTTATTTCGGATATTCTGCTATGGGAAAGTGTTCACTTAATCCTACACTGACTGACACCAGACAGAATTTAAATTGAATGAATGAAATGTAGTACCTACATATGCATACATACAAACATACATGCATACACATGTGCAAGTATTCTTCAAACACGTCATGCACCCCAATAATCATTACCATAACACAAGCGTACATGATACAGATGGGGGTAAATTTATATGAGTCAGCGCATGGCTTATTGATGCGATGGGGCAGGCTTTTATATCAGCGAATCTTGTGTGGAGCACAAATCTGCCACATGTATTTTGGTTACGAGTACTTTGGTACACTTAATCCTAAATAAAGTCCATCTAAATAAAACAAAAATAAACATTACATTTTTAGTAGTTGGTTTCCTTTGACGAAGCCAATTTTATGATAACCAATGTGCCACACCTGCCGCTACCTAGGGGCATCTTGTCTGAATAAAATTACTGAAACTAAGGGTGCTTGCACTCTTATAACGCTAACCATTTGCTTATGCTAAATTTAACCATTAATTTGAAGCACCCTTTCCCTACTTTTGGGGCCCATATTTCATTGGCCACCACTGTAGGCTGTATTCATCGCGCCATAACAAACATTTCCTGCAGCACAGCACCATTCTCTTTTTGTAGGTTTTTTATTTAGTTCGTTGTGCTCTTCATGTGGCACAATTTGAACTTCTTAGCGGCTTTGGGCCATCGTCAATGCCATTTCCAGCCAAGTTAGGGTCTACTCTATGAGTGTGTGTGTGTGTGTGTGTGGTTGTTGAGGGCGTAGTCGTGGTACATCAACACTTGAAAGAGTCGCAAAGGGGACCGAAGCAGAGGCCTCAGCTAACAACTAACAAAGGTTAATGGCCGCTGGTCTGGTCTGGTTGGATGACTGGCTGTCGTCGTCGTCGTCGGAGATGGTCTCAGTGGCAGCGCAGCGCAGCACTTGTAAAAGCTTAGCTGCAACATTGATATTCCGTGTTGCCTCTTATGCAGTTATGCAGTTGTGTTCGTCTGCAAGTTGTGTGGCAAACAACGGAACTAAAAAGGGGGAAACAATCTGTTGAACAGACAACGAAACGAACGACCTGCATTGACATTTTGGGTGCTGTACTATGTTCTGAACTGGGCTGCGTGTGTGCATCATCATAATCAGTTACACACCATAGACTGCAGAGATTGAGTGACTGCAGTGACGCACACAAGTTGCAGAAGTTTAATGCTCGGCACGTGTCTGGGCGCCAGTCGCAGTCTCCACCCCTCCTCCCAACATTGATTCAAAGGCCTATGACTCATCATCAGGCAACCACAAGAAGCGGAACCACCCTATTTTGAATGAACAAATGAATGAATGAGTGCCCTGCCCCTGGCAGCTTATGTGTCTGCGCGTGTTTGTGGGGAAATCCTCCCCAGCATTATTGTTTTTATCTTCGCTCATAAAACACTCATAACTGAACGCTTTCCATTGCAGACTCTACTCTCAGCATGTCGACCAGCCCGAAACCGGTTAAGAAGGTACCAATTCACTTGCAGAGCGCTGCCAATCGTGTTTACATCAAGAATGGTAAGACTCCACCGCCAGGAGGGTGTGTGTTTTTCACAGCGAAATCTAAACGTTGTTTTTGGTGTCGTTTCAGGCGAGATCGTGAACCATGATAAATCGTTCAAAGCGGACGTCTACATTGAGGATGGAATTATCAAGTATGTGGTGTCATAATTTAATCAATGAAAATTCACACTAGAATTCATCCTTGTGTCTGTGTAGGTTTGTGGGACCCCCGTCGGAGATTACGATACCCGGCGGCGTGCGTACCATTGACGCCAGTGGGCTGCTAATCATACCCGGTGGCATCGATCCCCATACGCACATGCAGCTGCCTTTCGGTGGCGCTGTGGCCGTCGATGATTTCTATCATGGCACCAAGGCTGCCGTTGCTGGGGGCACCACCATGATAAGTAAGTTGCTCACCTTATGATCCCTGTGTGTCGCGATGGAGATAACTAATTTCGATTTTACTCAGTCGATTTTGTGCTGCCCAATAAACACGAGTCGATGATAGAGGCGTACGACAAGTGGCGCAGCTGGGCCGATCCAAAGGTCTGCTGCGACTATGGCCTACATGTGGGCATCACCTGGTGGTCCAAATCTGTCTCCGAGGAGCTGGGCATTCTGTGCAAAGAGCTGGGAGTCAATTCCTTCAAAACATTCATGGCCTACAAGGGTCTCTATCAGGTGGGTAACATTTCTCAATGCATTTTCGATAGTTATGTAATTGAATTCACTTGCAGCTTAATGATTCAGACCTGTTGGATGTGTTTGAGCGTATTCGACAATTGAATGGCGTGGCTATGGTTTGTTTTGCTAATCGATAAATAATCGAATGCACCTCTGCTGCACCCAACGTAACTGTATTCTTATTCTCTATTTTTTTCAACAGGTGCACGCTGAAAATGGCGACATTATTGCAAAGAATACGCAACGTTTGCTGTCCGAAGGCATTAATGGACCGGAAGGCCATGAACTTTCACGACCAGAGGAAGTGGAGGCCGAGGCGGTGCATCGCGCCTGCGTTCTGGCCCACCAGGTGAGACACTCCCAAGCCCAAGTCGTTCATTGAGAGTGGGACGGTGTATAGAAAAAGAGTTTTACGTACAGTTCCTGTACGATCAAGGGGACTGTAATATTTATTTATGTTGTATATTCTTTTAATTTTGGTTATTATTTCTTATCCATTGTGTATGATGCACCCTTGTACATATTATGCGGTATGCGGCACACACGATATAACCCCTACCTACACATAAAACGAATGAATGTCTCTCGTTGGTGCCTTAAAAGTCCGATTGCCCGCTGTATGTGGTTCATGTGATGAGCAAATCGGCGGGCATTGAGCTGGCCAGAGCACGGCAACGGTATAGAGGTCGATACATAATGGGAGAGACCCTGGCCGCGGCTTTGGGCACTGACGCCACATGCTGCTTCCACATGGGCTACGAACATGAGGCGGCGCATGTGCTCAGCCCACCATTGAGGCCCGATCCGACGACACGTGAATTCTTGATGAAGCTCCTGGCTAAGTAAGTTTTGCAGCTCGATTCGACTCGACTCTGGGGTTTAAGCATGTCTCTGGCTGATGCTGCTGACTAACGCCTACTAACTGGGATACGAAACTGTGCTCATGCCTGCTCATAGCTCTATCCACTAACTGCTAATCCACTCTGTTAATCACTCTGATAATGTTCATGCTTTCACTCACACACGCTCACACAAACAAATCGCTCGCTCGTCCGCTTAGATGAAGACGCCGCTCTTTGTGTCCGGCCTGACCAGCAAATCCTCCGCCGAGCTTGTCGGCCGTGCCCGCCGCAGCGGCTACTGTGTCTTTGGCGAGACGTTGGCCAGCTCCATTGGCCGTTCGATGAGTGGCGTAGCCAAGGGGGAGCGCATCTACTACATCACCAGTCCGCCGATACGCGAGTCCGCCGAAACGCCAAGGCAGCTTATGAAGTCGTTGGCGTAGTAAGTACTTCCCTTTGTTACATTTCTATGCGGGTGTTTCGTTTTGTTTCGTTTTGTTTTGTTAATTTTGTTTAATTAATGAATCTGCAAACCATCTCCTTGCTTTACTAATAATCTCTTACTCTGCCGCTCCACAGCGATGACCTGCAGCTGACGGGCAGCGACAACTGCACGTTCAACAAGGATCAGAAGGCAAAGGGCAAGGGAGACTTTACCAAGATACCAAATGGCGTCAATGGTGTTGAGGATCGCATGTCCTTGGTGTGGGAGAAGGGTGTACAGGCGGGTCTACTCGATCCCTGCCGCTTTGTGGCAGTGACCAGCACGAATGCTGCGAAGATCTTCAACATTTATCCGCAGAAGGGACGCATTGGTAAGAAAAATAATAAATAATGGGCGATTGAAAATTATATCGTTTGTCTTCTCCTTAGCTGTCGGATCGGATGCCGATATTGTGATCTGGAATCCGAATGCCACCCGCACCATTTCCAAGGACACGCACCATCAGGCCTGTGACTTTAACATCTTCGAGGGCATGACCGTTCACGGCGTCTGCGAGTTTGTCCTGGTGCGTGGCCGCATCTGTGCCGAACGAGGACAGGTGCGTGTGGCGGAGGGCTTTGGTCGCTTCATCCCTACGCCGGTTCGTCCGCCATTTGTCTATGACATTATCGAGGGCAAAGTGCAGTCGGCAGTGCAGGAGGACCATCCCGAGGAGCGGCAGAATGGTGGCGGCAACAGCGTGGCCAAGAAGTTTGCCGAACTGGACATCCAGATACCCATTCAAGAACCAATTAGCGCCATGCTGGCTGGCAACCTGGCCATGCCCGCAGAGGGTTCGCTCTGCAGCACGCCCTCGGTGCATGGACGTGTCGATGGCAAGCACGACATGCAACAGTCATCCTTTTCGATTAGCGGTGAGTGGTGGCGGTGGGGGTTTTCCTTGAAATATTTTGAATAATAAATAAATTCTTATCATTTTCTACAGAGGAACTCGATAGGGGTGGTGTGAGGGCCTGCATTAAGGTGAAGAACCCACCTGGCGGCAAGTCTTCCGGCTTCTGGTAGATGCGATGCCACTCGTCTGGCGCATCGATTCGCACAATGCATCATGACACGGACAGGCAGCATTGCAAGCCAAAGTCTGTCTGCTCCCATGCGCTCATTCAATAACTAAGCTCTGGCATTTAATATACCGATCCTGAAACATAAATCGTAATCTAACCAAACTTGAAATTAAGTAAACATATAGCCACGAAAAGAAAGCGCCACACCCCCAACTTAAGAAAGATAATAACCATACCATCTGCATCTGTCATTGCCTCTCTCTCTATTGTTATCAATAACTTTTTGTTAGGATCCTGTGAGATCCTCGAGGATTATGAAAATCAAACAAAGTGCTTTTTTAGGATACTTTTTGTTGTTAACACACGATATATTTATTTTTACGATATTTGCTTATTTACATTGAGATTTAGCACAATTTTGTTTGGTACAATCGTACATCTTGAAAGTTATTATAGGGGCTATGATATCTAAGTCTCGATAGATGAATTCGAGTTATTATACTATAAACATTATATACCTATTGCAATTGTTTAATCCGCTTTTGCCGTAACCCCCTTCCCCACACACGCATAGCCCCCTCATTCGTATGCCCCAGGGATTCATCCATCAATCATTGAAGAGTGAACAACCGATTGGAAACAACATTTTTGGCGAACTTCATCTGAGGATATCTAAAATAAAATAAAATACTGTCATCTTTTTTCGATGAAAATTTATATAAAATTGCATAAATATTTATTATATACGAGTATACATACTTTATATACATACATTTAAATAAAAACAAAGCCGAACACAAAGAACAAAACTAATAAAATTTACCAAAAAAAAAACTAATCTTTATATATAAATGATGTAGACGAATTTGTTTTATTGGAAGGGGCAGGAAAACCCTATGAAAAGTCATTTTAGTTTTATATTTATACCGAAACTCTTTACATTCCAGTCTTCAGTGTGTTTGCAATCATATTCCAAGTCGGTTCTTATTGGGAAAACTTGTCCCCTACTTCCTCTTAAGTGGAAAATGAACTTAAGATCTCTATAATACTGAAAACTATTGAAACTAAAGACTGATGGGTTTATTTATAACGTTTAAAAAAAACCACTCACAAGATATTTTGTTTAAAAAGGGGAAGCAGTTTAACTGTCTAGCCCCTAAGGAAAATAGCCATAAACTCTTCTCCAACTCTACTATTAGTAAACCTCTCGAAGGAAAAAACATCCAGGAAGACAGGGAGACATTAAAAGACAGTTACAAATTTGGATTAGTTAATGATCGCGTTTATTTTCAATTATATGGATATTTACAAAACGATTTAGCACAATTAATATAATATATGTATAATATTCATACGCTTATCAATTGTGTTTGTGTGTGTGTGTATATTTAATGCATGCTCGTACTCGTACTCGTAACGTACACTCATCACTCTCTATTCAATAAACGATGACTGACAGACAGATGACCATGTGAAATCAAGTGCTTTAAAACTTTCGTAAATCAAAACTCCGCACACCAAACGTACACAGCGGAGTGCACACAGCTATTTACGTGTCTATATGAATACATAATTACAATTGTTTTTTTATAACGATCAAAAGTAAAATACACCCAAAACCGGATAAGCCCCAACCCGAGCTACAACTGTACGGAGTAGTTAGTTTCTTGCATTTGTGCCATGTCAGTGAATGGGTGGGGGGTCGGGGTGGTTTATCCGGTCAACTGGTTGCAGGGCCATATTAAAAATGGATTTAAACTTAATTATTAAAATTAGCCGAGGTAAAATACAATCTGTTCTGGCTCTCTTCTTCCGTGCGTGCCACTACTTACATACATGCGCGTTAATGCAAAAACAGTTAATAGTTATATCATTACAAGTGTCATTCTACATAATAAACAATCTAATCAACTAAATCTGTTTGTATTTGTTGTATAAATAAACTGCCTTTACTTTTGGGGTCTAAACGAAATATTGGGAGGGGGTGGCAGGCCAAGAGGTTTGCTTAATAATTAAATATCTTCAATTCAGTGTGTTCAGTGTGGTGTGTTCGCTTATGCCCTAAAAATCATTCGTAAAGTGACCTAAAATTGACTTAACAACTAAATTCCAATAGTACATAAATGACCATTTATTTGTTTTTTGTTTTTTTTTGTTTTTTTTTTTTTCCTCTATTTTTTTGTTTCATTTTGCAAGTGCGGCCGGTGAATATTTAATTGATGATTGAAAGTTTAGGAATGCATGCGACCGCTTAAATTGTTTCGTTTCGTTTGTTTCCACCCCAAAAATGCTATGAAAATAAATAATTAGTAAAGTTTATGTTTCAATCGAATTTCGTTTCAGACTCACTGCCACATCCAAGACGCTGATTAATTGCTCTCTGGTTATCCTGCTTATAGCTTCTTTAAATAGGCGGCACACTTGACGGCGCTGCTAACCTGTCCCGTATTGAGGAGACTCAATTTCTTGTGCTTCGCTCGGAACTTCCTCACATAGGCATCAATTAAATTTTTAATCTTGTGTGGATTAATTTCACCAGACCGACTGTGACAGATCTGCAAAAAACAAAATCAATTTCATTACAATTTTGTTCTCCTCCTTTTATCAGTTAATTGCTAACCTTTGGCACAGCCCTTCGCATGATGTCCTTGTAATCCTCCTTGGTAATCACCTTCTTGTTAAAGTGCGGCTTCAATACCAATTTCACTTCCTCAACGACTCTCTCCTGTCGGTTCAGCTTACGCAAAAACTAAAAATTGAAATGCAAAAGAAATTCATAATATGTCGTCTGCTCAGCTTTGAGTGCTTGACATTGACTCACTCTATCCTTATTTTGCAGATCCGTTGCCGAATTGGGCAGATCATCGAATGCCGCCTTGTGATCGTCCGATGATTTGCCACCTAAAACAAAAGTTTAAGAAATATTAAAAATATTATGAATAGGGATTGGGAAATCGTAAATTCTTAATGGACCAAACAAAATGATACAAGCGAGAGTTAAACTTGTACAACTATCGCGATAATATCCGAAAATCATATGCAAATTTTGGTTTTAAAAGATTTCTTCGCTTAATAATCTCTTCTCAGTTGTTCCAATAACTTTTAGCGATGCTTCAGCCACGGATTGCTTATTTGCTACGTTTCTATGTTCGTTTACGAGCATTTATAGATATTTTTCGCTTTAATATCGTTTGTTTGGTCCACTTGTAAAGCTAAATTAAATCCCAATCGGATATTTCCAACATTATAAATGTTTCTAAAATGTTTGGCAAGCGGCAAGGATTAGGAATTCTAACATAAATTCTAAGAACTCACAACGAACCTTTTCTAGATTTACGTTCGCCTTTGTTATTTCCCCTTTGTGATTTCTTGAAGCGCGACATTTTGGCAGTATTGCCCACTGGGGAGGTGCTGCCAAAGAGATTGTCGAACATTTCCGTCTTGGCACCACCGCCACCACCCTTAGAGCGTTGCTGCGCCGGCGGCTCGAACAGATCCTCATAGTCCGCCGATCCGGGTGAATATGGGCTCTCGATATCCATGGTAAAGGAGTCGTCCAGTGCGTTGACCGTTGCACTCGCTGCGTTTCCGCTGCTGCCGCCGTTGCGCAGGCCAGAACTTGTGGTGGGCAGATTGGCGATGCCACAGCTGCTGCTGCTAGCCACGCTGCCGCCACCCGCTTTCGGGAGCGGCGCGAGCTTCTTTGCCAGCGGCGTTGGACTAGAAATCACCGGTATATGCTGGGAGCTGGACACCACACTGCTGCCCGAGAGCAGCACATTAGAGAGGACCGTAATGGTATTGCCTTCGGCATTTGTTTTGTCGTGGCCTCCATCGCCGCCGCTTCCGCTCGCACTCGGCGCACTGCTGCTGCCGAGATACTGCGTGGATGTGACAACGTCGCAGGCCTTGCCGCCGGCCTTCTCTTGCTGGCTGTTGGCGTTGTTACTTTGGTTCGGCTTGTTCATCAGCGCCATCACCAGATCCACGGGATTGATGACACCACTCGTCTGTGTCTGTGTCTGCGTTCCAGTGCTGTTCGAGACGGATGTCGGCGCAAGGCTGTGGCTGCGACTGCGACTGTGGCTGTCGCTATCGGATTTATCCCCTGGACCTGCAGAACCCGAGCTATTGGGTAGCGCCTGCTCTAGGTTTTGTGTGGGTGTGGGCGTCGGTGATCGGGGTGACAGGGAGGGCGACTTGGTCGGCTCAAACGGATCGTAGGCATCCGGTGAGCAGGGTCCCGACTCTGGCGGCGTATTCGGTCCGATCTTCTGTGTGCCGCTCTCGTGGCTATGGCCATGCGGCTGCTGCTGCTGTCCATCATCATTGTCGTGGTCAGCGATGCCAGCGCCAGGCAACTCCCTGGAGGAGCACGCAGCCTCCAGCTCGTCCGCCGAATTGATGTCATCGGCATCCTCGTGCAGGGGATTGTTGCGCACGTTGTGCGTTTTTTTGGCAGGTAGATTGAACTTGACAATTGGTGGCTCTGGCGGGGTCTTGGGGCCTGTCGTCTGCTGCAGTGTCTCGTACGAGGAGGTCTCCATAATCGTGGCCAGAGAATCAGCCTGTGGCGTCTTCTCCCGCTGACCGTTCTCCCGCATCAGATCGTGATGCTCCGCGGGCGAGGCCACTCCACTGCCGCGTCGCCTCTGGTGTCGATCCCGCTGCTGTTGCTCCTGCTGCTGCTGTTCTCTGCTATCTCTGTCCCTGCGCATTGGATGCGGCGGCGGCGCCTCGTTGGCATCTTCGCTATCCGTGAGCACAATCACGTCCGCGGGCTCTTGATGCACTTGGAACGGTGAGCGTTCCAGGTCTATGATGGCCACCGGCTTGGCATCCAACTTTTTGCGCTTGCGGGTCTTGTCCTTCTTCAGCTTTGGCTTCACGCTAGCGTTGCTTAGCAGCCGATCCATGGAAGAGCCGGTCAAACGACTCGCTAGAAGGTCATCATGCCTGGCAGGCATTGTTACCACCGTCTGCTGTTGCTGCTGCTGCTGTTGCTGCAAGGCGCTCGCATTCGTGCCGCTGGCTGGCTCCTTGTTGAAGCTAACGCTCACGAGAATGTTGTTGCCAGAGGCAAAGACCTCCTTCGAGGGTATTGGCTCCGGTGTCTGCGTGCGACGCTTGCGATTCTTTTTTTCCTTGCGCTGCAGCTTGTCGATTGGCTTCTTTTTCTTTTTGCTCTTGTCTCGCTTCCGTTTCGCCTTCTTGCCAATGCCCAGAGGCGTGGGGCTGCGTCGTCCATCATCCGCATAGTGGCCGCCGGGATGGCCAAGCATGCCCTTGGGCGAACCCAAGGGCGGTGTCCACGAGGAGTTCTTATCGCCTCCATCGTGAATGAACTTCATATGATCATCGGAGAGGCTGGGCGATGGCGACCAATTGCCCGCAGGCACACCCTTGCTGATGGGAGGCGAATGGCGTCGCTTCTTTTGTGGCGCCAGGAAATCATCGGCATCCTCAAAGGGATCGCGTTGCCTCGAGATGCGCCTCATTCGAGCGGCCGTTGTCGGACTAGTGCTGGCCGCACGCTTCTTGTTCTTCTTTTTCTTGTCAGATTTCTTCTTTTTCTTCTTGATCACCGCCTTGGGGCTCTTCGAACGCGTCCGACTGCGACTCAAACGTGGCGTATACCGCGGTGAATTATGGTACACGGGCAGTGGAGCCATATTGCGGCCGCCATTCACTCGCGTGGGCGTGTGGGAGCCAGATCTTAACGAAATGGGGCTATGTCCGCGATCCATCGCATGCATC